CACAGGCAGCACTGACCTGCTTTCCGTGGCCTCCTTTGGCTTTGCCTGTTCTAGGGATTGTTATACGTGGAATCGCTGTGTACAGGCTCTTCGGTGACAGCTCCTTCCCTTCACGTCACGATGTGCCGGCGTGTCACTTGCAGCTTGTTTCTAATCTGGGGCTCTTAAGGATAAAGCTAGCAAGCTGAGTTTTATAAATGTTTCTTGGTGACAGTTCCAAGCACATCCTGGGCATTTGATAATTATTAGTCATTTTTGGACTTTCGATTTGAAGTATCTTGTTAATTCCCAGAAGTTGGTCAATGTATTTCCAAATTTTTGACAAACACATTCCAAAACACTATGTAAAGCCAATCATGGGCATTTTGAGGGTGTTCTTCCACAGAAAACATTTCTCCAGAAGCTGCTCTTGGGGCGCACTGTCCTGGGTCTGCAGCCCCAAAGAAAGAACCAGACCTTGGGGCACCTCAGCCAGCAGGGTGACAGCGAGAATTGAGGTGACACAGGGAACTGTAAACACAAGACAGCAGGGGTGGCTTCTCTCAGGACGGTCAGGGCTCAGGCTGAGTCGTTCTGTCAGCAGTGGGTGCTGGGTAGGTACATATGTGGACTGGGCTGCCCGTAAGAACTAAGCAGTGTGTGTCCAGACCAAACATTTCAACTCCTCATTTTAAAACCCTGTGTACCCAAGCTGAATGCCACATGCAGTCTGATGGCTTTTTACCTTTCCCAGGCCTGTGTGGCGCAGTGTGGCTGACTTCCAGTGCTGTGGGGACCCGCTCGCCCTCTGTAACAAAAGCTTTGGGAAAGGTCATTTTCCTCATCCTCCTGGGTCTAAATGCATGCCCGAGTCACCTCAGCCAGCCTGAGTGTGCACAGGACTTCCCTGAAAGACTTCCCAGGAAGTGTCTGTGATTGGAGTGAGATTTATTTTAGGAACAACCCTGGTGCTTTAGACCAACTGATAGAACCCTGTCACAAGCAAAGTGAAGGAATGCCACCAGGGTTGTGAGTCCACTGCCCGACTTATGAAATCAGTGAATTTTTGTTTATTTAGACTCTTTTATTATCTGTTTTCTGAGTATAGTGGTTCGGTTCATGAAATTAATTTGTTCCGTGATTCTGGAAAGGACGTTCTCCTCCGTCTCTGTGTGGGGAGGATGGCAACAGTTGTAACCGTCATCCGATGCAAAGTCCACAAATGAAAGCGAAATTTTGCCAAACACTTCTGTTTGTGAACCAAATTGTTCACAAACAAAAGTGTTAGTGAAGCGAGGTACCACTGATTCTTTCAGTTATCTTGATCATCACTGTATGGTCATCTGTACCCTGATTTCCTCCCGCTGGCTGCAGACTGTACTTCTCCCCAGCTAGGCATCCTGCAGTAAACACGGACTGTCCCCTCTCTGTCCTTTTCTAGATCCAGAGTTTTCACATGGCACCATTTTGACAGCTGGCTAGGTGCCAAGACAACTCTGAGTGCCTCATTTATATTAATGCTGCAGGTTCATGAGATATGTGGACGTTATTATTAGACCAATTTTATAGACGAGGGAAGGAGGCTCAGAGAAGTTAGGTAATTTGCCTGGGGTCATACAACTAATAAGTGGTAGGACCTGGATGAGACCCCAGGCCGTCCAGGTCTAAAGCCCGCATACTGCCCTCTGCTCCGTGTGACTATGAGTGTAGACTCTAACGAGGGACCAGGACATCCATCTGCATTTAACGCCCTGGGTAGTTGTGTCTTGGAGACACAAGCAGGGGTTCTGAGAGCTCAGAAGAGGGAGCAGTTGAGTCCTCCTCTGGAGAGGAAGGGAGAAAAGAAACAACAACAACAACAACATAATAATAATAATAGCTCACGTTGGCTGCAAGTAACACTGTTAAGCACATCAAAAACGTGTTCTTGTGCTGTTGCTCAACAACCCGATTTACAGGTGAGAAGATGGAGGCTTAAAGTTAAGTAAAATGTCACTTAATCAAATTTAGCCCAAGTGTTTTGAAAACTAGAACTGAGGCTAGCTCCTTAGTGGTGACAAACCTGTGGCGTGCGTGCCACAGCAGGCTGTCTGTTATCGTTTGAAAGCTCTAACAGGTTCGCCATCACTTCGCTAGAGGAAGGCTTTGCCAAGGCCCAGCATGGGCAAAGGCAGGGAAGCTTTCATGAATTTTTAAATTGCTTGTTTGTTTGTGTGTTTTTATACAGGGGATTAAACCCAGGGCCTTCGTAATGAACTGCATCCCAGCCCTTTCTGATTTTTTATTTTTTTAAATTTGGAGACAGAATTTCCCTAAGTTGCTAGCTGCCCAGGGAGGACTCAGACTTAGGATCCCCCTGCTCAGCTTCCCTTTAAATACATTTTTTAAGACGGGGGTGGTGACACACACCTGTAATCCCAGCACTCAGGAGGCTGAAGCAGGAGGACTGCCATGAGTTCAAGGCCAGCCTACATTGAGTGAGTTCAAGGCCAGCCTACACTATATAGCAAGACCCTATCTAAAAAAAAAAAAAAATCTGTTTTAAAATAAGCCTACTTAAATTCTGTTTCCTCAATTCTCAGGTGTACCATCTAACCATCAGTTGGTAGCTTTTTAGAACAAAGGGAAACTACCATCGCTGCTACAAAAGCAGCCCCCCTGCAGGTCCTCCTGTGGGTGGCCCCAGGGCACAGCGAGTCCACTTCTCTGCTGAGGCTCTGCCGCTGTGACTTGTGGCCTGGGGTTGCCTTGTACACAAGTCAGTGTCAGGGTCAGGTGACAGTGCGGCACAAACTGGGGCCTTGCAGGGACAGAACTCTTGAGTAAAATATTGACTCTCAATCTTTACATATTCATGTGTGCACATTCAGTAAGTCTTTAGTTCTCCTCTGATCTAAACTGGCTACCAAAAGAGATGAGAATATGAGTCTGGGCATGGTGGCACACACCTGTAATCCTAACACTTGGGAGGCTGAGGCAGGAGGATTGCTGTAAGTATGAGGCCAACCTAGGCTACCTAGTGAGTTCAAGGCCAGCTGGACTACAGAGTGAGACCCTATCCCAAAAGAGAGAGAGAGAGAGAGAGATGAGAATAGAGCCAGATGTGGTGGCATACACCTATAATCCCAGCACGCAGGAGGCTGAGGCAGGGAGATCACTGGGAATTCAAGGCCAGCCTGAACTACATGGCCAAACCCTATCTCAAAAAGACAAAAAAAAAGAAGATGAAAATAACTATGTCCCCACTTCCAAGCACTGCCTTTGTCTTCCTCGGAATGCTGCACCGAGACAGACTAGACAAGTGAAAAGCAGGAACCGGACATCTCAAAAGTGCCTGGTGGCATCTGCACACACGGGCTAGTTTCCCTGGAACAGAAGGGAAAAAAGGACTAGGAAGGGGACACAGGGGCTTCGGCACTTCTGAATTTTTATTGTTAAAAACATATCTAACTCTGGTTTACTGGTACAGCCGCTTCTCCTGTACCTGTTCTTCAAATACATGAGTACATTCGTCTGTGGACGCCATTATTTTCACTAGTAGATTGTTCTCCTTGGGCGTGTCCTCATCCGCCTGGCCTCAGTCCCTCCATCCCACAGCCGTCCAGTGTCCTCAGCTAATATGGATGTCTTTGGATTCATTTGTGCTGTGGTCCATACCCATAGATGGCTGAGTATTATTTTGTATTTTAATATTTTACATGGACATTATCGTGCTGTACTCATCCCTTCAAAACTCACTTTTTTACTCAACAGTTTTTTGTTTGATTTTTTTGGTTTTTTTCCTAGATTTGTATGTGTTGATGAATGAAAATCCAATTCAGTCTTGCCCCCGTATGATATTTTGTTATCTGAATTTTTGCCTTGGTTTTTTTGCGGGGGAGGTGGTAATTTTTTGGTGCCGAGAGCCAAACCCTGGGCCTCACATCTGCTAGGCAAGCATTCTACCGCTGAGCTCAAGCCCCAGCCCCTGTTAATCTGAATTTTAAACTAGGCTTGATGTTGCAAAGCATCTGAAATAAACAAGGCACCATGTCAAAATTCATTCTCATTACCAGGTAGGTCCATCTGCATCATTATGTTATTCTCTAGATTTCGATATATTTGGAAGTTTTCAGAATGGAGAGGAAAGAGGAAACACCAGTGGAGAAGGGGTTAGAAAAGGTAGCCTCTCAGCCTAGGTTTCTGCAGCTAATCATCTGGATATAAAAATAAACCTTGGGAGACCAGCTTCATCTCATTTGCCACTCGTGGGAATCTGCCTCCCTAGGGAAAGGCCAGAAAGTCTTGACCTTGGGCTAAATGAAGTGTTTATTTAGCTGCTTGGTTTGGAGCATATTGGTAGATGGCCAGAGTGGGCTCAATGGAACTTGTTGTAGGCCTGGCTATTTTAAAAGAGGAATTGGCAAGGAACGATTTCACAGAACTGCTGTGAGACACCATTTTTCAAAATATTTATAACATGTAAACTATAAATAGTCCAAATGACAAATATCAGTCACAGCTTTGACCAGGCCAACCTTTGACTTCCTCGACACTCTACTATCTTGGGCTTCGAGACGCTGATGCCCCCTCTCCTGTGCCTGCTGGATACCCTTTGTGACCCCACGTGCCTTTCAGGGTCTCTTCTTCCTCTCAGGGACTTTCAGAAGAGGGAGGCCTGGCAGGAGTAAGAGCTTCCCCATGACTGGTGCTTCCACAGATCAGCGATGGAAGGACTTCCCTAGGTGAATCAGAGACTCACAGGCACTAGATGGAATTGCCAGACTGCAATGCTTGATCAGAGTGACCTGGAGCACCGTTTTACTCCCCCTCCCTTCCACAGGCAGTCTCCCCCCGTGCCCAGCATTCACCAGGGAGCCCCATTTAGATGATTTTCAGGTCCTAGGGCCTCTGTTGCTTCTAACTTCAAAATGAGGTTTTCTCCTCGGCAGTTGCTGGAGCCCACGTTGTTTCCTGAGTATCCCCATAACCACTCACCCCAAAGCTGTCAGGCACACTGACATGCCCTTCTCTCCACCCAGGGTATGACTTCTGCCAGGTACTGCAGTGGTTTGCTGAGCGGGTCGACAGGATCATCCTGCTCTTCGATGCTCACAAACTGGACATCTCGGATGAGTTCTCAGAGGCCATCAAGGCTTTCCGGGGCCAGGATGATAAGATCCGCGTGGTGCTGAACAAGGCCGACCAAGTGGACACACAGCAGCTGATGCGGGTCTATGGGGCCCTCATGTGGTCCCTGGGCAAGGTCATCAACACGCCCGAGGTGCTTCGGGTCTACATCGGCTCCTTCTGGGCGCAGCCCCTGCAGAACACGGATAACCGCCGGCTCTTCGAGGCTGAAGCCCAGGACCTCTTCAGAGACATCCAGAGCCTCCCCCAGAAGGCCGCAGTGCGCAAGCTCAATGACCTCATCAAGCGAGCCAGGCTGGCCAAGGTAAGCCGGCCATGCCCAGGTTATGCCTGGGCTGGGTGCTCCATCCCAGAGGCTTAGGGATGGGACATAAGACAGGGTAAGATCGAGGAGCCCTCCGAACATCCCAGTTCTGGCTCTGTGATCTTGGGCCAAGGGTTTGGCTCCTCTAAGCTTGTTTTCCAATCTTTAAACTGGAGCCGACAAGGACACTTCATAGGGTGCTTCTGAGGATTCGGTGTGGCAGTTTGCTCCCGTGGCAAAGTGCGAAACCAGCTGAACCTGAGGGAGGTGGCCTTGGAGGAACCAGTAGGGCACTTAGAGGCCACCCGTAGGAAGCACACACCTGAGGCTAGAGCTCATGTCACCTCCTGAACACAGAGGAGCCCTGGGAGGATGGTTGGCCCAGCCTAGCCTAGAGTGTGCGCTGGCTTGGGGACGCGCCTGCCTCCTCTCTGTGCTATAGCTGTACACCTGCATGTTTTGGCCCTAGCCCAGCCTCTCAGAAGCCCCTGGCACATGTGCCCTGTGGGGTGGGTGGCAATCTGCTGACCCCTCCAACAGCAGTCAGTCCTGTCTCTGAAGAAAGAGAAGCATGTCACCCCTCAAAGAGGAAGTATAAGGAAAAAAGAGTTCTTTAGAAAATCTGTATACATTGCATGAAATTATTGTCCTCTAATACCAGAAGCATTTCTAGAGTCACAGACCTGGTCGCCGGTCCTCAGAAACCTGTCCCCGTGTGTCCTTAAAAGTATGCACGTAAAATCCCCTGTGTCAAAAGAGATGCATCCCGGTGACCCTGATGAGCAGCAAAGGGATCCAGAAGTCCATGCTGACCCCCTATTTCACAAGGCACAGTAGGCTAAGGGCTCTCCGCGGTCGCCTAATTCATTCCTGATAAACCTGGGGCTGAACATCAGCCGCCTGGCTGGCAGCCCAGCCTTCTGCTCTGGGCCATCTTCTGCTCATGCCAGCCCACAGGCTGCATCTCCAGACCCACTGGGGTCTGGTCAGGAAGTGAGGTCAGCCCAGCTTTGCCTGGTCTTGGGGTATCAAAGAACCCACATCCCGTACTTCAGTCCTCGTGGCTTTTGTCTGGCCTCAGCACAGGGTCGACCCTCTGTAGGCCATCCTGCTCTGCCTCATTCAGCCAACAGGACTCAACACCTGAGGCAGGGCTGAAGAGCCCAGCCTCAGGGAAGGAGTGGGGAGGCAGGGACATGTGCTGTGGGTGCTGTGTTCTGCAGGGGCAATGAGGTGCCCACTGGGGACAGGCAGGCAGGGCTTCCCGGAGGATGGTACTGGGGAGAGCCACAAACCTCCTGACCTCTCCTCCTTGCTCCTTAGCAGCCTTCTTCATACCCACAGTAGCATCTCTTCTGCATAAAAGAGGTGCGTCCCTGGCTGCCACTGCCCCATCCGTAGGACCTCCATCCCATTTCCTGTCTGCTCACCTTCCGTCCCAGTGTAGGCACATGCATTTCTCCCGTGTTGCTCAGCGAAACTGAGGTCACACAGTTCTTGTGTGAGTCACCGTTCTTTATCCTTTCTTCCTGGTGCAAGCTGCTTCCTCTCTGTCCAGAACAGCAAGCCACTTTGTTCCAGTCCCCCAGGGCAGTTATGCTAACTGGTTTATAAATCCACTTGCCTGTGGCTCCCACAATATGTCCTCAAGCTTCCTGGGCCTAATGCTTGGTGGCAAGAAGTCTCTTTGTCCCTTCAGTGACCTCCTTGGCATATGGTATCTCTCTCCTCCAGCTTAACTTCAGGGTATGCAACAGCTCATGTTGCTTTAGAATCCAGTCTGGTAACTCATGCCTTACCTTTTGCAAATTTTAAGATTTTTCCCCCACTACTTTTAAATATCCACAGACATTTTTAATTTGCCAGTCATTACTGAGAAGAAGCAGCTACATTTGGTCAGATAACTGACTAAGGAACAAAGAACGGGCTGGAAGTACCAAGCACCATAACCCCTGGGGCTTCTCTGCCACCCTGGGGCATCTGCCCTTCAAACAGGCCAGTGTGGCTGAGGTCTTGAGAGGCACAGAATGTGGCTCTGTATTCGCCACTGTGAATAATGAAAACCCTTGTGCAGATGGCAGGGGGAGGCTCAAACTTGCTGAGCTTACTTATAGGAAAAAAGCTTGCATTTCTTTTCTTCCTAAGAATAGTATCTGGCTTGTTCCTTTTCGCAAAGGCAAAATGTTTGAGGCGCGGGTACTTCCAGCCTGAGCCTTCCAGTGCCGCTTGCTCGGGGCAGTGCCATGCTGAGCAGCAGGACAGGAAGCAGGCTCAGCCGCATGAGAAGCAGAGCTGAGCACGGTAGATTTGGTCCCTAACGAGTGGCACTCACGTTAGACCATCTGCAGGTTTTGTTTTTGCAGCACTGGGGGCCAAACCCAGGGCCTTGCCCGTGCTGGGTACCACGCTCTACCAGTGCGCTGTCCACCACCCGCTACCTGCAGTTTTATGTTCCATTTGTGAACCTTGTTTTTGCTTAAAAGGACAAGCAGTCACCTGAGCCTTTCCCTTTAGAATGTTATATTTTCTAAAAATGCTTTTGCTTTGCTTTTATTTTTTGTTTCTGTTTTTGAGACAGTCTCACTGTGTAGCCCAGGCAGGCTGCAGACTCAGAATCCTCCTGCTCAGCCTCCCAATCACTGGGATTATAGGCGTTTATTTTGGTGTGTTAATCTTTCTTCTCTTGGTCTAGTTTTCCTTTTGAAGCCAACAGTGCTCTAAGAGCCACACAGTTTGCATTATGTGTATTATTTTGTTCGATCCTGTCAATAACCACACAATCCCATATCCTTATCCTCATTTTACACATGTAGGCCTGACCCTTGGAAAGTAGGTAACATCCCTGAGAGTCACAGCCTGCAAATTACAAATACCTGTATATATTACAGTCCATGTCTAGGCAGTCAGACTGCTAGGTCCAAAAAACCCTCATTTGCAATCTAGAGTGGACAGCCGCTTCCTGACATCCTTGCTTCTGCATTAATCTGCCATTCTGTTTATTCTAGAAAATTCTCCACCCACAGAAACCCAGCAAAGCTGAGAGCCTTGTTGATCTGCCATTTTGAAAACATGAACAGGACAAGTGTTTAGATGTCACCTAAGTGGTGACATCTGAATTGACTCTTGGGATATCTGACTATAGAACGCTGTAATTAAGCAGAACCCATGGCCCATCCAGAGAAAGCAAGTGTGTCCTCATTTTAATTAAGGTGTCACAAAGATGACACTGCAATAATACTAAAAATAAGTACTGTTGCCAAAATCAGATGACTTCTAGGTCTTTTGTTTTTTTGAGGCAAGGTCTTGCTTTGTAGTTCAGGGTAGCCTTAATTTTACTATGTAGCCTAGACTTGGCTCAAACTCTCAATCTTCCTGCTTCAGCCTCCCAAGTGCTGGGGTTACCAGCACGCACCACTACAACTGGCTCTTTCTTTTCTATCTTTATGTTTTTACAGCTGTCTGTCCCAAATCCAGGAAATCTCAGAGTGGGCTTAGCGAGGCAGAGATCGGGTCTTGTGGTGTCAATAAGCAGCCTGCATGAAGACTGCTCACTCTCTGAGGTACCGGTCAGGTGCACTGCAGGATTGTTTAGAATGAGCTATTAGGGGAAAGCCTGAACAACAGTTTGCAAATATAAGTTAGTTTTCTTCAGCTCTAATAAATCAGCCTCATGGAAATCAAAATCATCTTTATGAGAGAAATGGACCGAAGTAAAAAGGGAGGGGAGTTTACTGCAGGGCCTACCCTTGATAAGCACATTGCCCAAGATTAGGAAACATCCCCACCCACTCGGAGATCCTCACTCAACAAAAAATGAGGTAGCATTTGAGGAAGAAACCAGTAAAAATGAGAAAGAAATGGAGAGCTCAGTGATTTTGAGGGTTTACTGTAGTTCTGTAAAATTCAGTTTCGTCTTCCGAACGTGTTTTCCTGTCAGTCACGTGTATGATGCAGAGCCTGGCTTCCCCGTTCCTGAGAACTGAGGCACTTTGTACCCGTGGACGGACCCGGGCTCAGGGTGTGAGGGTGGCTGTGTGCTGGGTGGGAGTGAACTCTTTATTGTTTATCCACCTTGAGGCTTTAAAAATAGCCCAGCCGGCAGCCCGAGCTGCTGTAGATGCCAGTGCTTGAGCCCATATATGGAAGCCTGTTGCTCTGCAGCTTGACCTCAGATGCCTCTGAGGCCCCCATAAGTCCCTTTAAGGCTGTTCTGGAGCACAGCAGCCACTGGGGTCAGCTTTGATCTGAACACAGTAGCAAACCCTTGTTTAAGTAGGAACCAATGAGCTGCTTGTCTCTGTCTCTTTGAGACTCACACTTTAATTACCCCGTGGGCTCATCTTTCCACTGTCTGCTCTATTAACTGAAATTTTTTATCCTCCATACTGGGGATTGACTCAGGGTCTTCACACTGAACTACATCCCCAAGTCCTTTTTTATTTTTTATTTTAAGGCAAGGTCTCACTAAGTTACTAAGTCACCCAGGCTGGGCACCAACTTTAAATGTGCTGATCCCCCGATTTTAAGTGTTCTGTACACATTTCCAACTAGGCTTATAGAAATGCAGGTCCCACCAATTTTTTTAAAATTTACAAATGAATGGCATAGTGTCTAACCCCGCTTTCCCACCTGCCTCACTAAACCACTGCCTGAAAGCCACACCCCATGGAAGCATCTCTTCCACCTGGTAGCTGCCCCCACTAGGGGCCCAGGGCTGCCCTCCCAGTCTGGGTGGATAGAGCCAGTCTCTCTCCTGAGCACACACTTCTCAACTTGGAGACACACACACACACACACACACACACACACATACCTTGCACTAGACACGTTTAATGAAATTTGTATTGGAGGGTTTATGAAGTATTCATAAATCCATACAGCCTCCTTAAGGGAAGGATATCCCTGTCTGCTTGTTGAGTTACTAGCTTAGAGAAAAATGGTCATTTTGATCCATTTGATTTAACCTCAGGCATCACTCTTAGAGGACTTAGGACTTTTCCAATTTTATACAAGAAAAAGGATGAATGGAGCAAGATAAGAATGTTCAAAAGCCCACAGAGGTCAATGTCATTCACTTGTGAATTAAGCACGTGGAGCCCAACTTCGTCATGTTACTCTTCAGACAGGGAGAGTGTGCTAGTTCCTCAGGAAGGACAAAAGCACTGAGCCTGCCCTGGCAGTAGCACTCCTCCAGCTGTTGGCCCCAGGCCGGTAGTTAATAACAAGTAACAATTACCCTTCCCTTTGTAGTAAACCAAGTGCATTCCAGTGCATCACCTATGATTCTCATAATAACTGTGAGATAAGTGTTGTCATCCGCAGTGTGTGGATGACAAGCCGAGGTGAGGCATCTGACGGCTCCCCTGACTTGTCCAGAGTGGTGGCAGGGCCTGAGCCTGCTCTTCCATCCCTAGGGCTCACCACCCCTAGGGCTCACCACCCCCACTCTTCCTTCTGAACACTCTGTTCTTTCCTGTTCCCCCTTTATTCATTCTCTACACTATGAAAGACAGAAAGTCTCAGGCTCTTTCTACCTCCTTGCACAGGGCCGTCTCCAGGTGTGGCCCCGAGGCCAGTATTTACCAGGAGAGACATCTCTGAACAGAAGGGCAGGAGTGAACTTTTGAAGCTGACTGTGACTTGCTCCATTTAGCCTGTCCGCTGTATTCACCAAGTGTCTTTAGAAAATGACAAGGTGCCTCCTGCCAGAGGGTTGCAGCCTTTTCCCGTATTGCCATGTGGTGTTCCTAACGTCTGTGTGCCATGGCACATCCATTGTTGGTGTGTGGGCAAAGGGAGAGTAAACATCCTCTCTAAAACTTCTGCAGATGTGGAGCAATCAGAAATCAATCCCTGAGTCAATTTTCCAAACTATTGTTCTGAGTCATACAGTTCATTTTGAATTCCAGATTTGAAACAGCTTCAATGAGATTTTCTTGTTTAGTGTTAGGGGGTCAAATCTAGGGCCTCTCACATGCTAGGCAAGTACTCTACCACTGAGCTACATCCTCAACCCTATCTTCGTTAAATTGTTAACTCATACCCACAGAAAATAGTTCTGTAAGGATGGGAATAAGGCATTTGGGTGCCAGTGTCGGCCCCATGCCTCCCAACTATTTATGTGACCCTGAGGAAGGTATATGAAATTCCTGGAACCAGGAGTACAGTTACACTGAATGTCCCTTCCATAGTCAGTACTCTAAGATTCTGATTTACCATGCAACTTAAGCAACTTTTTAAAGCCAGAGCTCCCACATGGTATCGGAGCCCGGACAGTTGTCCCAGGATGCTCCAGGAAGGGCAGCCACTCACGGGCAGCACAACAGGAAGCTTCCACCACACAGACCAGTGGACTTCTTAGAAGTGGAAACAGGCTGAGAGCAGCGTGAGCCAGTCAGCCAAGAGTCATGACTAGGTAGTACCAGGCAGGTAACAGGTGGGGGAAGTTAAGACCTGGCACAAGAGCTGCCTCTGGTGTGTCAGGGCACTGGAAGCCCAGTGTCCAAGGGCAGCCCGTTGTCCAGCAGCTTCAGTCATCAGCTGGCAAGTGCCATGAGGTCTCAGATGAGGGAGCAGTAGTGGGTGGAGAGGTGTATGGGCACCTATCACCTGAGTTCCGCTCGGGTTACACAGGCCCTAGCAGGCCTGTGATCAGAATCAGGTGCCCAGCCTTGAGGGCAGGGGCTACGTAGGAGTGAGTCAGAACAGGGAGCAGAGATGAAGCCTTCCTGGAACAGCTCAGTGATGCTTCAGAGGGCCTTAGGGAACCTGCAGGGGCCTGGTTCCTGGGAATGATGGGGAGGCGCTCTCAGTAAGAACCCCTCATGGTGGGATGCCAAGCAGCTAGGAGCCTTCCTGCCTCCATTGGAACTGGCTGCCGCCCAGAGCTCGGCAGGCCCGGGCCAGGCCATAGGTTCCGGGAAGACTCTGCCCAAGAGTGGAATGCAGGAGCAGCTGGTGACTATCTGGCCTTTCCCACTGGAGCGTGACAGTCCTTTAAGTCCGTGGGGCTCCCCTAGGCCCATCCATGTCTCGCCAGGCAGTGACCACCTAGGGCAAAGTGCTTGCTCCTCTTACGACTCATTCATCATAGCCTAGGATTCTAAGTGAAGGATTCTCAAATGTTGGGTTTCTCTTTTTGTCCCTAGAAAATCTTGGAAATACTCTAAGTTGTTTAGTATTGAAAAATAAACAAGCTTACTACTGACAGAAAGATTTAGAACCGTCTCTCCAGTTCTGTGCATTCTAAGCAATAGCTGGCAACACCGTGTACACTATGCTGAGACGACCTTCATCTAGATGGAAGAGTTAGCCTTTCCCCTGCTGCGCATAGCAGGCTTGCACCATGCAGCCCTCATCTTAGCCCATATTTCTGGCTTTGTCTAGCATGTCCCCATCCACAGAGGCCATTGGCTGAGCTACTGAATGTATCCACTTATCCCCTTTATTTAATTTCCACAAGATTATGGTGAAGTCTGTTTTCTTTAATAGGGTTTCCCTTAGCTACTCAGTCATTTTCTTTTTGTAATCCCTGCTCTGTTTTTCATCCTTTCTTATTTAGTTATTTACTTGACTTTTGAATAACTCTGTAAGAGTCGAGTGCTACAGGAAAGCTATTGTAAAGAACCTGTCATGTCGTCCTGAACTGGGAATCAGTGCAAGAGCAGAAATGTCGAGAAAGGGTACAACGCAGGCCAAACCCAGCTCTTCCAGCAGGACGCTGCCCGTTGGGTGACAGTCCAGGACCACCCCAGGAGATCAGGGTTTCTGGGGCTTCTCCCTCATGTACCTCGGCTCCTCCCCAGGGGGAGTTTCTGCTAACCAGCATGGTCCCAGGTGGCTAGTCTTAGGCGAAAATGACTTCGGTGCCACCTGTAGAGATTTTGACATCTAAACTGCCCGCAGAGGGGTTGTGGGCATTCTTGTTGCACTGCTCACTGAGCTTCCACGCAGATCATTGCTAGCAGTCTCCAGTTTCACTTCCTGGTGCTCCCAGGGACCAGGTGAAACTTTCTCCTCGGGCTTCTGGTTGATCACAACTCATGTCTGTCTCACACCTGTCACTCCCTACCCAGACCCCAGAGTCCCAGAGACACCACTGAGCTGGAGCCATGGAATTTCCCCATGTCAGTCACCCTGCCGAGAGGGGTGTGTTTAGGACAATTCCACATTGCCCAATCTGTTCCCAGCCAAGCCTGCCCACCCCACCTGGGAAGCAGGTTGCTCTCAGCCTTATTCTGACCTCTCTGGTGCCCCAGAGCCATCACTGGGTTAGCAGAGCCGCAGCCTAAATCCTCCGTCGGCTCCTAATACCTGGTGAGCAGAGTCTGTATGCAGCCCACCCTCCCCACCTTCAAACCTGTCCATGACACGGCCCCAAACCTGCTGTGCTGCACCTCTGTCCATGTCCTTTCCTCCACCTGGACGGGTGCATCCTCCCCTCAGCCACACATCCTGTCTGTTCTTCAAGGCCAAATTCAGTATCACCTCTTCCCTTGCTCTGTCATCCCCCGCCCCTTACCTGTCATATTCCACCTCCCGGAGTCCTGGCTCCTCTTCCACCTTGCTCTTGGTCATGGTGTTCTCTCTGTTACTCTCCCTGCATGGTTTCACCTTCCCCCTTGGCTCTGCTCCCCGCCAAACCCATCATCCTGCCCAGTGCTCTGGACATACATCCCAGCATCCCGCTAGACAGCCTGCTCCCCTGGACCTTGCTCCCTCCTGTGTGTGAGGACCATGACTCTGCCTGGGTGCCCGTTCTGGGTCATTGACGTATATAAGATGCAGTGTTGTCTGTCCCTTCTCTGGGGCAGTACTGAGTAGCACATCTTTACCTGACATTGCCCTCAGGTACACGCCTACATCATCAGCCACCTGAAGAAGGAGATGCCAAATGTGTTTGGAAAGGAAAACAAGAAGCGAGAACTTATCTTCAGGCTCCCAGAAATCTACCTTCAGCTGCAGCGAGAATACCAGATTTCTGCAGGGGACTTCCCTGAGGTTAAGGCAATGCAGGTAACTGGGAGCCCATTACCCTGTCATGGGATGGGAGAGAGATGCGGTGGGATGGGACGGGCTCATGGTTAGAATCAAGAAGAACATAAGAATTGGTCCTCTTGGATGAAGCAGAAATTGCCTGCCTTCCAAAACACTTAAACAGAAGAGGACACATAGCAAAGGTCAATGACATTCATATGGATAAATCAGATGAGCCCTCTGAGACTGGTTTTGATGCTGAGGTAATACCTGTTTCTCAGAATCCTGCACCTTAAGGGAATCAGAGCTGGGCATGGCCTCGAAGGTCACCTTGGATGGCCTCCTCCGCCTGCCGGCACTGTGGGATTATGTACTCAGGCGGCCTCGTCAGGGGCGTGGGGCTCTGTGTACCTGGCCAGGCTTTGCAGGACACAGTGAGGATTTTGCGAAAGGCTGGCACTGGTGACCTTGACCCAATTTTCAGAGCCTCTCTCAAGCTGAGTCTGGGCAGTCCCAGCTGAGCTAGGCTGGGGGCTGCAGTTCGCTCCTGGCCTGCGCAGTGTGTCTGCCTCTCCGCAGCAACACCGGATGAGCATGTTCTGCTAAGAAAGCCACCTGACTGGCTTCAGCAGACAGTCCTCACCGCCAGGCCAACTGTGTTCTCATCCAGACATGCATCCATCTTTTCTTCTGTAAAAGCCACTGTTTTTCTGTAAAGCAAGCGATACTGGCCCAGGTGCCTGTGGCCACCAGCCAATATTGTGATCAAGTAAAGCCAACCAGGTAGAGGAGCATGGGTGGCCCTTGCTGTCCACCTGCTTTCTGACAGACATCTGACAGACACTTGAATCTGCATAGAGAAGACACAGTTCTGCCCTTGCCGTGGAGTTTGTGAGCCCCTGGTAGGAATAGTGTGCCCGTTCTCCATGGGTCATCCTGGCCAGCCCAGTGGTCACCACCCTGAGGGAGTATGGGCCCACACAATCAAAGAGAATCTAGATTTGTATGTAAAAATCACCTGGTTTTCAAATTTTGACTCAAACTTCCAAAAATCACTACACAGGCCAAACAAAGGCCATCTGCATATCTCTTGTGCCCTGAGATCGCCCATCATATCTGCTCCGAGCCACAGAGGCCAATGTCACTAAGGTAGCAGTACACAGAACCCTGGGCCTCAAGGTCCCTGCTGGTCCCTGCTAGAGGGAGGAGGAAGAAGAGGGGAGAGGGGACCACAGCATGGTAGATGTGAGGGCCAGCAGGTAGGGACAGCGCCAGGAGTTTTGTTCTGAGGGGGTAATTGGTGATGTGAGCTTTAATGAATCACACATAAACACAGGATGGATCCTGCTGTTCTGGGAGAGTTCTTCACACCTGGACTCAAGTGAGTGCTCCGGTCAGTATGATCCGGCTGTGTTTATTTCATAACAAGTACAGAAGCATCTTTTCTCTTCCAGCAGTGAAACAAACATGCCTGTACCCAGAGGATGAACGGGGTTTCTCCTGGCACAAGAGGGCTGATTCTGGCATCGCCTGGAGAGTTCCCTATTCACACTGTCAGGCTGTGCCTGCACCCCCTGACCAAACTGCAGGGCAGCTGTTTCCTGTCTTTCAGATGGAACTTTAGTTGGAAGGGAACTTGGTGTCTCAAGTTCAGTGAAAGTTATGAGAAAATACCCAGCATGTGCCATGGCCTCATGGGGCTCTCTGTGATGCCTCCGCATGATCAGGTTGTCACCATGTGTCAGCCACAGAAGAGACTGCTCCTGAGACCAGGGCATGCTAAGCCCCCAGGTACAGAGAGCTGACTCCAGGACCAGAGCTACTCATGGCACATCCTGGGCCTGCGGTGTCATAGGACAGCCAGGCCACCAGAGCTGGGCAGAGGGATGGTCTCTGGGAAGGGAAACAAGGAAACCCTCATCTCTGGAGCAGCCACAGCCCATCCAGCAGGAGGGCATAGGAAGGGTCTGGGTGTGTTGAGAGCCCCTGTGGGTTAGGCCATGCACCAGGTCCCATAGCACCTGGTCACTTGTGTCCACTTATTCCTTCCTCTAAGACATGAAATGGCCCATCCCAGCTGAGCACTGTTCTCAGCCCTAGGAATAAATCAGTGCATAAAAAAATGAATGAGGCTAAAAATAATTTAGTCTTCACATTGTGATACTGGCGATGAGGCTTTGGGCAGCAAAGTGTGTGGTTGGGACACACGTCTTGCTGCAGCACGAATGCTGTTGTGGTTCAGGGTAATTAATTACATCATTTCCTGTCTGTCTTCCTCAAGGCTGTAACTCCATGAGTTCAGTGACCCGTGTTCTCTTCTCTCCCATATCCCTGGCGTCCAGGATATAGTGGTTGCTCGGCGTATCTTAGTTACTGTGTGTTCATGCAATGGTGCCTCTAGTGTAGTGAGCTTTTCAGACCCTGGTCCAGGTCTGAACCCCAGAGGGCTTATGGACCAGGGGTTTCCAGAGGAAACCCTAGAAGATGAAGGAAGATTTCTCCTGGAGAAGCTGGTGGGGTCCTAATTACACCATCTAGTCCCATCAGAGAATCTCATGGAATAAGGCTAGCCAGTGACCCATCAGGAGCGTTCACTGTCCCTTGTGTATCAGCTACCTGCTGTCATCCAGGCAGCTGTGGGTAGTATGGTGTGGGTGAGGGCCTCTTCCACCCCAAGTCTGGTAAGAATCTCACACCCTCCATGTGATCTCCCATGTAGAGGTGGGGCAGAAGCTCAGAGATGACGGTGTCGTGGACTTCGCTCCCGTCAGGGCTGTCTGGAGAGCTCTAGGTGTTCTCCAGGCCCCTCAGGGACCGGTCTGGTCAGGGTGACTCAGCCATTGAATGAGCCAAACATTATTTTGAGGCTTCCCACGGGGGTAGGACAGGCTCTGCAACCTACTCCTGAGGCTGCCTTCCTCTGTCCGCCCCCTTCTGGAGGACATGTGACTTTTGGCACAGATGTGTCAATACCTCAGGATGACAAGAACCCTAGAAATGCCACCTTTACTCTGACTCACTCCTGGAAGGACAGTGTGACCCTGTGGCCAATGAGTTAGCAGCATGTCAACAGCAGAGGGCAGCAGAACTGCCCCTGTCTGCCCTGGCCCTCCTGTGCATTTGAACCCCACTCCTGGTGACCCTTGGGAAGACGAGGCCTGTGATAGCCCAGCCAGCTGGGGTTGGGCTGGAAACTGACCTTTGTCCTTGGGAAGGAGCAGTCCCAGGGTCCTGAGCTTGCTGGATAATTGTTGATGGGTCTGCCTTCAAACTGCCCAGTGTGTAGTCATCCCATAAAAAGGCTTCTGTTTTGGACCCACCTTGATGGAGTTGATGATGGTTTAACTTGAATGCCTTACTCCCTAGCCAGGCCAGTGGGGACCACAGGGATGAGTGTAAAGGGTTTATGTATTTTGTGCCCTTCAGAGTAGGAATGGCAGCAATTCTCTGACCACCCCTGCAAATATGTGGCCATTTCCCCTGTCAGTTTCCCAAACATGTGCCATCAGGATCTGTGGCCCCTGAGAGCTGATAGAGTGTTAGGGTAGGCATCCCACTCGTGTATCTGCCAGGCCAGACACAGGGCCTCTGTGTGCTCCCAGCTTGGGTGCACTCCTGAGCCATGGGGTAGGTGTTTGTGTACCAGGGAATCCAGCCTTCTTTACCCAGCAGGGCTGGGATTTTTGTGTAGGATACTTCCTCCTCCTCGCCCATCCACTGGCTGACAGATCTGGCACTATCGCTTGGTGCCAAGGTTGAGGGTGACGTCTTGGTGACTATCATCTGCCAGTGAGGATAAAAGACAGGGGAACCAGAATTCTAGTTAGAGATCAGGCCTGCTCCACCCCACTGCCCAGAGGAGGACACAGGCCCCACAGGGTATGATAGCAGTGTGGGAGGCCCTCCTCTAGAGTCATGCCGGGCCGGCTAGCTTCCGGATGTGTCTCTCCACAGTCTAAAGCTCAGGGTGCCCCTTCCAAATGTCAGCATGGAATTCCTGCCCTACCGTGCATCCTAGAGCCACAGCTTTGATTCTCCATTGCAAACAAGGAAGGAATCAGGTAAAGGAGAAATGGTCCTTCTAGACAGTCAAGTGTTCTAGAGCTCCTAAGAATAAGATTATGTAAAAATTAACATCATAGACAATATATATTTCTTCCAGTACTGGAGATTGAACCCAAGGACTTCACACTTAGCTACATCCCTAGACCTTTTTCTAATTTTTTAGTTTTGACACAGGGTCGTACTAAATCACTTAGTCACCCATGCTAAACTTGAACTTGTGATCCTTTTGCCTCAGTCTCCCAGAATGCTGGGATTACAGGCCTGTGCCACCATGCTTGGCTGACACAGTATTTCTTTAAAATGGAGATTATGTATCAGTGTGGTGTTATTTAAGTAAAGTGTGTGTGTGTGTGTGTGTGTGTGTGTGTGTGTGTGTGTGTGAAAGTGGCTAGAAATGTATGCCCATGCCTGTGAAACGATGGCTGGTCGCTATGATTACTCGGTATCTGCAAGATTCCCAGGCTCCTGGCCCAGCTGTGCTCCAGTGGGGCTGAGCCTACCTGCGCAGCATCTGAGGCTCATTCACAAGAGATTAGTGCACTAAACCCTGTTGGGGTTTTTTGTCATCTTTCTTTCTTTCTTTCAGCTGGTCCAAAACAAAGTTCTTAAGTACTTTTTCCCCAAATATAGTCCCCCTGTCCCAACCAGGACAGCATTAGTGAAAAGCCAGGAGGCGTGGGCCCTGGTCTTGACTCCATCAAGACAGCACGTGGCCTTCTGTAAAACAAAGTTGAGAATAGTGCTGCCCTTCCCTACCCAGGAAAGGCATGTACATCAGCTGAAGTGTGAGATGATGTCTGGAGTTTTCGAAAAGAGGGACAGGTTAAAAAAAAAAAAAAAGATTTTCTCATAATCCTACTCATGCAACTTCTCCTTCCAAAAACCACCGTGCACACAGTGAGTCTGGGCGTGAGGACCCCATGGGGGAGCGAGCTCTGGAAAGCACAGGTGGGAGGGGGGGGTTCATCTCCCTCCAGCTGCCCCTGCCTATTTCTGCCTGAAGAGAGAGTGTGTCACCAAGGCTGTGTTTTCTCCTTCTGCAGGAGCAGCTTGAGAACTATGACTTCTCCAAATTTCACTCGCTGAAGCCCAAGCTGATCGAGGCTGTGGACAACATGCTGACCAGCAAGATCTCATCCCTCATGAGCCTCATCAGCCAGGAGGAGATGAGCATGCCCACGCAGATGGTGCATGGCGGCGCCTTCGATGGCACCACCGAGGGCCCCTTCAACCAGGGCTATGGGGAGGGGGCCAAGGAGGGCGCCGACGAGGAGGAGTGGGTCGTGGCCAAAGACAAACCTGTCTACGATGAGCTCTTCTACACTCTGTCACCCATCAATGGCAAGATCACGGGCGTCAATGCCAAGAAGGAGATGGTCACCTCCAAGCTGCCCAACAGTGTGCTCGGCAAAATTTGGAAGCTGGCCGACTGTGACTGCGATGGCATGCTGGACGAGGAGGAGTTCGCGCTGGCCAAGCATCTCATCAAGATCAAGCTTGATGGCTATGAGCTGCCCAACAGCCTTCCCCCCCACCTCGTGCCCCCCTCGCACAGGAAGTCCCTGCCGAAGGCTGATTAGAAGCCACCACAGGACAGGGCGAGCAGGGCAGGGCAGGAGGAGGGAGCCGGGGGACCTGGGCCTAAGGCCTGCTCTGCCACTGACTGCTGAATGGCCCTGGGCAAAGCACTGCCCTCTCTGTGCCTCAGTTTCCCCATCTATAGGATGAGGAGGCCAGACACTGGACACCAGATGAGATCCTTTCACCTCTGAAATTCCAAGTTTCTATTAAAATATTAGGGGGAGGGGGAATGGATAAGGAGATCAAAACTTTGAGAAGAAAGGGAAGTTATCCAGAGTGCCCCGGAGCCTGGAGGAACACACGCGTGGGGCGGGCCTGGGGGACTCCAGGGCCTGGAGAGTGAGCCGGGGCCTCGCCTGGAGCAGATGAGTCCGTGGGGCCACAGCGGCTTCTGTCATCATGAACAGTGTCTCAGCGTCTGTCCGTCCCTTAGAGGGCAAAGATGATCTTATTTATTTTGTTTATTGTGTTCCCTGCTATATTTAGAGGAGAGAAAAAATAAAGCAGAAGGTTTCCACTCCCTCCAGACTAATCTACAAAGAGAAGGCTGATGCCCAGGCTTGTCTGTTGTGCCCCTGTCCTAGGCAAGCAGGGCACATCTGTCCCAGCACCCAGTGCCCACCTCTGCCAGGCCTCCTTCCTAGGTGCCCCTGGCAAAGCTGTAATTGGTAAGGGATTTGGAACTCACCTCTGCGAACCCCTGGCAAGACCTCAGTTGGCGTTTCAGGTCATTTTGAAGTCTGAGGATTAGCTTTTCTTACCAGTTTGTCCAGTGGGCTGTAGAGAATCTGTTCATCAGACTTAAACCACACTAAAGGAAAGAGACTTTCCTTCATCGTTTTGTGTAGTCCCTGTCCCCTGAGGCTCCTTGGTGGGTGACCAGCGGAACCACGTCTTGGTGTGTGCAGTGTCCCAAGCCCTATGCTCAGGAGTCTTCAAGGAGAGATTAGTCTAGTGGAGTTAGACACTGTTTTGTAGAAAAATAGGCGCTTTAATTATGCCCACTTGTGTTTTTCTTATAAGACAAAAAGCTTTATACAGAAACATTTTATATAAACCCCTTTCTTCAAAGGCCATGTGCTTTGCTCATGAATGCCCGTCTTGAGGCAGGACTTGGCCACTTTCCCTTCCATTGGCTCTTGGGTGTCTTTCCCAAGTCTTTTACCAGGCCACTTGCTCAGATTCCTGGGTCAGGTGGAGGTGGGCACTTGCACCACCACCCTCCCTGCTCTGAGGTCACAGCTCAGGGCAGCAGGTGGCTTTTACCCTTATTTATGCAACGGGAGAGAGTCACAGAGCAGCGAAGGCTGTGTGAGCTGGGCTTTGCCAGCCCTGGAAAGGAGTAAAATCCAACAGTTTCTCTGAGCCTTCCTAAAGCTACATTTTTTCTCCCTTTTCCTTTCACCTGCCTCTGGTGTCATCAAGGTCAAAACTGCACATTTAAGAGAAAATACTGAGCCAGACTTGGTGGCACATGTGTATAATCCCAGAACTCGGGAGGCTGAGGCAGGAGGATCACTGTGAGTTTGAGGCCAGCCTGCGCTATATAGTGAGACTCTGTCTCAAAAAGAAAAAAGAAAGAAAATACCGATTTGGGGGAAGAATATATCCAGATGCCAGCCCTTACATTCTCCAGCTTCCTTTCTAAATACTTTAGTTTTAAGACAAGAAATTGCATAATGTAGCTTTAATCTGAATGAGCACTTTTAAATTAATTAGACATGCAGGGGAAATGTTTGTGATTCAAGTACTGTAATGCAGGCAGGTAGTCCTGGGAAGGTGAGGGCCACGCAGGTGTGCAGGAGGTGGCAGCCATCAGTGGCAGCTTGGGAAGAGAAATGGTTTGTCTAGAGGTATAGAGATACCAGGGAGAGTCGACTGTCCCTTCAGAATTGTCTTGCTTCTGCTCAGTTATCATATATAAACATAAATATATACACATATGTTCTTCACATGAGTATGGTTTGCTTTTTTTGTTGTTGGTTGTTTTGTACTTCGGTTTCTAGCTTTTGGATTTTTTTTAATACAGCTCAACTTGAAAGTCAGCTCCTTGTAACACAAATAATCCAAACTTCGTATTGACCAACAGAGTTCTCATGTCACCGGGGGCTACAATTAGTAGAAAAGGAACTGGCCTTTGTGGCGTAGGCAGTGGCTTTAGCTGCCCATGAGCTAAGGAGAAAGAAGAGCAGTTCCCAGCCCCACCCAACAACCTCACAAACAACCGCCTCTGAGACGTGTGTGAGGCATCAGGCAGTTCGGGCTGTTGTCGAAGCATTCGAAAGCCAGCCAGGGACAGAGGGACTGTGAAGGCAGAAGTGAGGAGAAGGAGCTCCTCTGACACAGGGCCTTGGTGTGATCTGACCCACATGCTTTTTCCTCCGGGCCTGGCCCTGTGGCTGCAGGAACCCCTCCCCCAGGACAGTCGCACCCTCTCTCTGAGCCTCGGGGCTGCTGGGGTGGTGGAGGCACCATGACACATGGGTAACTGTGACCCTGACCTTAGCCAGACCAGTGTGTGAAACCAGCAGAATGGGAGTCACTTCCCCTCCAGAGACAAGCATTCACTGCCTCCCTGTACACACCCAGCCTCCATGCCCAGCGCCACGGCCGGATCCACAGAGCGCAAAACAGTCAACTTCGAGTCTCTGACTTGATAGAAACTGTCATTTCCACAGCTTTTGCAGTTTCAGGTCGCCCCTTTCTAGGGGGAACCCCCTCAGGTCCAGGGTTAGATGAGCCTTGTGTCTATGGCTGCTCCTGGGGTTGGGGGGCACTCACAGGGGGCCCTGGGGGGTGGGGAAGGGCAGTCCAGGTTGGGAAGTGGGTCTTCTCTGCCCCTCAGGGCCTCTTACCCAGACTGCCTCACCCCTAATGTTCCCACCAGACCCAACAAGGCCACCTCAGGGGCCTCTGGGTCCCGAGAGGCAGGACCCCCCACCTGATGACAGGGAAGTTACCAGGGGCAGTGGAGTGGGGTGGAGGGGAGACCCTCTAGCTATGGGCCTGGAGCATTCTTGAGCCACCCCCTCCCGTCTGGGCCACGCCCTGTGGCAGGTGGGAGGACAATGCTGCCTGTGTGCCCTTACCCCCGACATGCTGGCTCCAGGGGAGGGCTGTGGTGTGGCCCCAGCTCCAGCCTTGGGCCTCTCTCGGTGCCTCTGTCTCTCACGGCACAGCCCTCCGTCTGCCATCTCCACCATCCAGCAGGGCCTCCTGCGGCCTTTGCCAAGGTGAGCACGCTGCTTTCCTTCCTCCTGCCTTCAGCAACCCAGCGAGCGCGGCCAACCACTGTGGCGGGGCCTGACCACAGGGGGCTGAGAGAGGGAACTGGAAGGTGGGGTGGGCCCCGGGTCCTTTAAGTGCAGGACACCTGTCAGGAGCACCAGATCTTACCTGGCTAGGAGCCAAGACACAATACCCACCAACTGTGGGGACAGTGTGCCAGAGCAGAGCCTCAGGCCCCAGACAGTGCGGTCATCAGTACCCACACCCCTCCCCACCTCCATGGCACCTCCAGACTCGGAATGTCCAGTGGCTTCTCATCCCCAAAGGGCCACAGGCCTGATGGCTGCCTGGCCCCGTAATCCCCAGCAGCTTCCAGCTACAGGGCACCTGCAGCAGGAGGCCAGCCTGGTCCCACCCAGTGCAGCTCCCACCATGGCTTCTGAGTACGAGCTGGGCCGCGTCCGCAGGCTGCAGGCCCGGCACATGCACATGCAGGAGAAGACTTTCACCAAATGGGTCAATAACATCTTCCGGCTCAGCCAGGTGAGTGCCTGGGGTGCCCAGCTCAGCCAGTGGAGCAGAGCCAAGGACAGGGCTTCCTCCCGTCACAGCAGCTCCCCTGCCTGCACCTCCCAGGTCGCAGGCTGACCCTGTGCCTACCCTGTCCCCTCCCCAGGTGGGCATCAAGATCCAGAACCTGTACACAGAGCTGGCCGATGGCACCCACCTGCTGCGGCTGCTGGAGCTGATCTCAGGGGAGGCGCTGCCAGCACCCAGCCGGGGCCGCCTGCGCGTGCACTTCCTAGAGAACAACAGCCGGGCGCTGGCCTTCCTCAGGGCCAAGGTGCGCTCCGGGGGTGCTGTGCCGGTGCTGGGTGGGCAGCTGGGGCAGGCGAGACCGCCGAGGTATCCTTCCCAGGTTGGGCCACAGGACAGGGCAGAGGAGGACACCGAGGAGGACTCCTGGCGTGGACAGCACCCAGCTGGCCACAACAGAAACTCACCACGTCCTTACTGGGCCTGAAAGTGTCACTTCTGTAATCAGGGAGAGTTACAGAATTCTATGCTGAGTCACTCCCGGTGTTTTCCTAACCTCCTTCCATACATGTGGATACAGAGGGCCAGAATTACTTACCAGGCAAGATCCATGGTCAGCCAGGTAGCAGAGACAGATGTGGGGCTGTGGGTGGCTGGCAGGGAGTGGGACACGGAGGAAGGGCCTGGTCGGTGAGGCAGGCAGGAGGAAGGGGTGCAGGAGGGAGAAGGGTCTCAGCAAGCACCTGAGACAGGAACAGGCCAAAAAGGAGGCAAGAGCTCCAGGGACACAGACCCTCATGGCTAGTGCCAGGGGTCTGTGCAGGGGTCATTTATATTGGGAATCAGGAGCTGGAAAGCTGAGGGCTCCTGGCCTTGGGCATTGAAGCTGCAAGGTGGCTGCCTGCGGGCTATGGAGTCACTGAGCTGGGCCTGGGTGAATGGAGCCTGAGCCAGCATGTGTGGCCCATAGCTTAGGTCCTCATGGAGGTACCACTGCCCCCTGAGGCCTGGTGTGCTGGAGGAAACTGGGAAGAAATCAAAGCCAAGGGACGGGGAGCGACTGTGGCCCCCAGCACCAGGGTCAACAGAAGGCTGCCAGCCACAGAAAGCCAGGCCCTATTTGGCCTCAGGGACAGTGTCCCTGTGAATTTGGCATCTTCTTTCAGGAACCCTGGGAAGGGTGTGAGCTCCATGGCCCCTGGGAGAGGCTCTGCAGCCTCCTGAGCTTTACTACTGGCACATCACTGATACCTGTGAAGGAGATGTCCCTGACTCAGAAACAAAAGAGGTCACAATGGTTGAGACAGGAAAGGGAGTAGTCCCAGCCCACAGTTACCAGGTGGGCGTCTGCACTGAGGGAGACCTCACCATGTGCTGAGCATTTTGTGCCAGTGCTTGCGACAGCATAAGCAAAGCCACCCCTGACTTTGAGGAGCCTGTAGGAGCTAGAATAGCTACAAGCTGGTAAAGGTTTCAAAACTGATTCTCTGGGGAAAACCAAAGCTCTGGACATATTTGCTGATTTACATGGTGTTCATCCTCCCATTGTGATCAAATTCAAACTACTAGCTGACACTGCTAAACACGAAGTTGGGAGGATCAGCTGGTAGGAACAGACTCGAGCATCCCACCCGGGATGCTCCAGCCAAGCTGAGGTGAATGTGGAAGAGGCGATGTGCCAGGGAGAGGAGGGAAGTGCAAGGGAGGGGGATCCTTTAGAGTCCAGCCAGACACAACACAGTGTACCCAAAGGAGACGGCCCCCAGGTGCAGACCCCCACGAGGTAGGTGGTCAGTTAGGCCAGCTGCCCTCCGGGTCTGACGCCTGCCTGCTTCTCCCTGGGGACCTCCTGGCTGGGACAGACTGGAGTCCAGGCACCCGCCCCAAGCCCACAGTGGGCCTCCTCGAATTTTGGTTCCTCTGAGTCCTCTTGGGAACACAGACTTTATGTTTTAGCCCAGGCTCCTGTGCCCACAGGTGCCAATACCCCTCATTGGGCCAGAGAACATCGTGGACGGAGACCAGACGCTTATCCTGGGACTCCTCTGGGTCATCATTCTGCGTTTCCAGATTTCCCACATCTCCTTGGACAGGGTATGTCTCAGATTCCCATGCCCCATGACCTAACCCGGCCCTGGTCCCTATTCAGGCCTTTGGGGATGGCACAGTCCCACCGAGCCTTTTCAATTCCCACAACACCCACAAAATCAGTGAGTGTTCACTCTCCGGCCCAGGGCACTGAACCCAGAATGTCAGAGATGTCTCCATGAGGTGGCCTGAGAACTAGAGTCAGGGCCTAACACCTAGCTTGGGACAGGTCACTCTTGTTGGGTGGCCCAACAGCTCAACTCCAGCAGGTTAGGAACACCAGAGCAGACAGTGAAAAGAAGCCATGGAGCCAGGTGTGGTGCCACATGCCTGTAATCCCAGTACCTGGTAAGCTGAGGCAAGAAGATCGCCACAAGTTCAAGGCCAGCCTGGACTCATAGTGAGATCCTGTCCCCCCACCACAAAAGCCACAGAGTTGGCAGATTAGGAGGACCTCAAAAATCACATGTGACCATGAGCCTCAGGGGAGCAGGGCCTTATTTGTCTGCATCCCCAGAGTTCAGCACTGTTTTGGGGAAATGCATGCACAGCTGGACAGGTCTAACTGACCTCAGCCCTTTCAGGAAGTAGTGCTGGCCTCCTAGATCCCTGGGGCCTGGGCCTGCCACAGCCTGGCCCCCTGGGAGCAGCAGGGGCTCATGGTTCCCTCCCTGGTGACTTAAACATGGTTGGGCTCAGGCTGCCCTGCTCCTTCCAATGCCCATCCCAGCATGGACCCCAGGTCCCCTTAGGCCCAGCCCAGCTCTCAGGGGCTTGGGCCTGGCCTCCTCTCCACTCCAGGACCTTGACACCCTGTCCTGCCCCACACTGGTGCCCAGTGTACTTCCTGCCCTAGCTCCAGGGCCTGCTCAGCCTCACTTGTGAATTTATAGAGAACTGTGGTGAGAGGAGGGTATAGGAGGGAGCCCTGGAAGGACAGGACATGGGACAGGAAACCTGGAGGGGGTGGTGGGAGCTGGGGGAGGGAGTGGAAAGAAGTAGAGTCCACTGAGGTAAGACCAGCAGGGAAAGAAGTCAAAGAAGGGGGCGGGAGAAGGGAAAGAGGCACTGAGTGAGAGATGAAGGGGGACAGTGGCAGAATAAGAGAACCATCTCCCCAGAACGGGGAGGGGACTGAACCCACACCCACCATGCTCCACAGAAAGAAAGGCTCCTAGCCCTGTCCCAGCCTGTCTCCCCACAGCCTGCAGGCTCTGCTGCGCCCTACACTGGGCCCCACGTGTGACCATGCACCCCTGTCTGGCCAGGAGGAATTCGGGGCCAGTGCAGCCCAGCTGTCCTCCAAGGAAGCTCTGCTGGTCTGGTGCCAGCGGAAGACAGCCAGCTACACCAACGTGGCCATCACCGACTTCTCCCGCAGCTGGAGCAACGGGCTGGGCTTTAGTGCGCTCATCCATGCCCACAGGTGTGGCCCAGCCCAAAGCCTCCACCCTCTAAGCCCACCGCCCGGGCTCTGGGACCCACCCATGCCCCAGATCCCCTCAGCCCCTGGCTGAGAGGGCAGGTGCCCGGCCAGCCCAGGTCAGCCCTCGCCACTCCTTGGGACAAGTCATGGAATTGGCAGGTTTGCACTGACCCCAGCCTCCTCCACTTCCTGTGTCCCTGGTTCTCTTCACTGTCCTCTCCCTGGTAGAACCGTTTCTTTTCTAGCACTGGGGACTGAACCCAGGGCCCTCCCCCTGAGCTACATCCCTACCCCTTATTTTTTATTTTGAGACAGGTTCTTCCTAAGTCACTAAATTGCCCAAACCAGGCACGCCTGCCCTTTTAAACTTCTCCCGACAGCCCTTGGCGTGGCCTCTCCATCAGAGTCCTACCTGAACTTCAGCCAGAGACTCAGGTCTCAGGGTCAGGGTCTCAGGGTCGGAGGAAGGGGAAGTCATAGGCGCTGTGAACCGCAGTAGGAATGTGTACTATAATAGACTATACTGATACTATATTGTGTACTATAATAGACTATATTGATAGTCTATTAAACCAAGGCAGGACAAATCCTACCCTCTGCCAGGCCAGACCTGCTGGACTACAGCTCCCTGCACCCCAGCCACCCACTGCACAATCTCACCTATGCCTTCCACGTGGCTGAGCAGGAGCTGGGCATTGCCCAGCTGCTGGACCCCGAGGACGTGGCAGCCCTACAACCAGATGAGCGCTCCATCATGACCTATGTCTCCCTCTACTACCACTACTTCTCCCGCCTGCATCAGGGACAAACAGTCAAAAGGAGACTCGCTAAGGTTGGTGACAGAGGGAGACAGGGCAGAGCTGTGGCACTTGAAGGCAGGTGGTACGAGCATGGGCCCCAGAGTCAGGAAGACCCAGGTTTGCAAACTGCCCCTTCCTCTTAACTTGCTGTGTGGCCTCAGCCAATTTGCCTAACTTCTCTGTGCTCCATATGTAACATGGAGATGATGCCCGGATAACAGAAGGCTGCTGCAAGCATTCAAGGGAGTGGAAGTGAAGTACTCGACCTGGTGCCCGGCATACCTGGGGAGCCAGGGGAGCAATGCCCCTCCTGTCCCTCCTGCTCGCTCACTTGCAGACTAAGCTCCTGATGGATTAACAGGCTTAGAGCCAGGAGTCTGCAAGGACAGGAGCAGAAAAGGCTCTGCTGGGCAGGGGCTACACCAAGCCCATGCTTTTGGGCGGCTCCCTCGCTCTCTGGAGGCGATGGCAGAGGCTGAGGCCTGGGAGGGCTGTCCTCAGGGTGGGTGTCTCAGGATGGGGGTGACACAGAGAGAGGGCTCTGAGCTGGCTTGCGGGGAGGTGGCCACGGGGAAGGGCAAGAAGACCCGGAAAGAAAAGCCTGGGGGGTTCAACCCCCAAAGGTGGGGCCAAAGGAGGTAAAATAAGTTGGAGGAAGGTAGGACACATCTCACTCCAGTCACTCCTGGGTCTGAGTGTGCAATGCCCCTCTTCTCTGAGCGATCGCCACTCTGCTGAGGAAGGAGCCACAGCCCACCTGGGCAAGTCCGGCTGTTCCCAGCATCCAAAAGGAAAGGGCCTCTAGCCCGGGGACACTCTGACCCCTTCCCCTGCCTTTACCAGATCCTGCTCCAGCTCCAGGAGACCGAGGCACTGCAGACGCAGTACGAGCAGCTGGTGGCCGACCTGCTCCGCTGGATTGCAGAGAAGCGGCTGCAGCTGGAGGAGCGGGATTTCCCGGACTCCCTGCCTGCCATGCGCCAGCTATTGGCAGCCTTTGCCTCCTTCCGTACCCAGGAGAAGCCACCTCGGCTGAAGCAGCGAGGTGCCACGGAGGCTCTGCTCTTCAAGCTGCAGATGGTGCTCCGAACCCAGAACCGCAGGCCCTTCCTACCTGGCGAGGGCCTGGGCCCTGTGGAGCTGTCCCAGTGCTGGGCAGGGCTAGAGCGGGCAGAGGCTGCCCGGAGCCAGGCCTTGCAGCAGAGGCTACTGCAGCTGGAGCGTCTGGAAACCCTGGCCCGGCGCTTCCAACGTAAGGCTGCCCTCCGGGAGAGCTTCCTAAAGGACGCAGAGCTCGAGCTGAACCAGGCCAGAGCCCCACCAGCCAGCCCGGCCACAGTGGAGGCAGCCAGCCAGAGACTGGGCATGCTGGAGGCCAGCATTCTGCCCCACGAGGGGCGCTTCCAGGCCCTGGTTGAGATTGCAGACATCCTCCAGCAGGAGCAGTACCATAGCTGGGCAGATGTAGCCCACAGGTGAGCCATCCTCACAGCAGGGTAAGGCCCTCCTATCACATCCCCACCTTTGCAGGAGCCCATTCCCAGCGATGGAGGAGAGGGTGGCTTATGGATTCAGGTCTCCCTCTAAAAAGATCAGTCTTCCACATGTGTTTGAAATCCCGTCATCGGTAATTCATTCATCCCTTTGGTAAAGCATTGTCCTTTCCAGGTAGCCTCTGATTAGCTCATTCACAAAATGGGCATTTATTTGTCTACTCTGTCCCATGAACCATTCTAGGTGCCAGAAATTTAACAGTGAAGAGGACAAGAAAAATCTCTCCCCCCACAAAGCTTACACACTATTAAGAAAGCAGATAAATAAGAAAAATCTGGATCGCAAATTCAAGCCCAATCTAGGCAACCTAATGAGACCTTGTCCCCCTACCCCACATATACACACACAAATTTAAAGGCTGGAGACATAGCCTAGTGTGAAGGCCCTGGGTTCAACCCCCATTACCAAACACACACACACACACACACACACACACACACACACACACACACACACATTAATCTGGGCATCTGGAAGAGGGATTAGTGTGAAGGCCTGAACCTTCCAAGCCCCCTTCTGGCTTCTCTGCCTGTGACCAAGGCAGGACACACGGCCCTGATATCCATAAACCAGGGATACTCAAGTCCAGATCCTGCCTCCAGCCTAGAGGTCACACTCCTCCAGTACAGCCAAGCCTACCACTAGCCAGGAGCCTGGAGGTAGCGTCCCTGCTCCTGCCTGCTGTTGACTACCTTATTCTTGTCCTCCAGGCAGCGGGAGATCACCGCGCGCTGGCAGAGGCTCCTTCAGCATCTACAGGAGCAGAGGAAGCAGATAGCAGGTGTGCAGGTTGTGCTGAACCTGCTGCAGGAGGTGGAGGCTGCCTCCGAACAGCTCCGGGAGCTGCAGGTAGGCACCAGATCAGCCTGTTTCTGGGGAACAGAGCAGGGTGTAGGGAGCCAGCACCTTGGGACCACAATGACTGCTCCTGTCTGGTCGGTCAGGTGTCAGCAAGCTCCACCGCATACGGGCAGCAGCTGGCAGAAGTAGTGGAGCTGCTGCAGAGGCACGACCTGCTGGAGGCCCAGGTCTCTGCACACGGGGCCCACCTGAGCCATCTTGCGAACCAGACAGCAGTGCTGGACCCCTCCCTTGGCACGAGTGTAGAGATGCTGCAGGCCAAGGCCAGGGTGCTGGGTGAGCTCCACCAGAGACTGATGGCTCTTGTCAGGGCCCGGTAAGAGCTCTCCCCGCCCACAACTCCTCTACCTTCTCAGGGCCTCTCTGAAACCCAAATTATTTCCGGCCCAGGACAAAATATTGCTGGCCTGGCAGCCTCCTCCACACTGACCCTCAGCAGCAAGGCCTCTGTCTCACCTGTCCAGTCACCCAGAGAAAAGAAAAATCCCCGTCTAAGGGCAGGGTCTGACCCCGGTGCGGCACCCCTTCCCCAGCCCTACTCCCCAAGCCCTCAGTGGCCTTGCTGTCCTCAGGCGGGCCCTGCTGGAGCAGACTCTGCAGCGGGCCGAGCTGCTGCACAGCTGCGAGGAGGAGTTGGCCTGGCTGGTGGGACGCACACAGCTGCTGGAGCAGATGGCACTGGGCCAGGACCGCAGCCCAATCGCAGGCGCCCTGCAGAAACACAAGGTGCCCGCTTCTCGGCCCGGCCGGCCCTCACCTCCCAACCTTCAGACCCTCTCCCTTCTCGTCATCGAATCCCATCCCTCTGGTAGGCCCTAGAAGCAGAGCTCCACCGCCACGAGGCTGTGTGCGCAGACCTCGTGAAGAGGGGGCGCGACCTCAGCGCCCAGGGGCCCCCTACGCATCCAGATCCCCGGGAGCGCACGGAAGCTGTCCAGGGAACGTGGCAGCTGCTCTGCAACTGGGCTGCACGGCGCAGACGACGGCTGCAGACAGCCCTGATAGCGCAGCAGGTAGCGGGAGCCTGGGGGGAGGAAAAGTGGGCGTGGCTTCTTGGAGGGGCGTGGTCCCGAGACAGCTTTGGGCAGACTGTGGGGCGTGGCTTCAAAGGCATGTTTGTCTGACATTCGGGGCGGGCCTTCGGGTGGGCGGGGAGCTATAGGCGGTGCTTCGATGGCGTAGTTGGTGTGCGGACAGGGCCCTGCCAGCGCTGAGCCCCGCCCCTCTTCCCAGTATTTGGAGGATGCAGCGGAGGCGGCGTCTTGGCTGCGCCAGCAGAGGCAGGCGCTGGAGAGCTCGTGCTATGGGCGGGACCAGGCGTCGGCCCAGGCCCTGCTGCTGCGCCACCTGCGGCTGGAGCGCTCTGTGCGCGCCTTCGCTGTGGAGCTGCGACAGCTGGACGAGCAGGCGCGGGCGGCCGCTGCAAGGTCATCGCTCAGGGTGCGTGGAACACTGCAAAGGGACTCAGTGCACTGCAGCAGGGAGCAGGGCCACTCAGACGACAAAATGGGAGGATCTTTGTCCTCCCATAAGCCCTGGAATCCTGGCCTTCCCCTAGGCGTGGGCGTGGATGTGACTCACTCCCCCATCCTCAGCGGCATCTCCCAGCTGGCAAGCCCGAAGCAGTGGAGCCCTGTCTGTCCTATGTGACAGGTCACCACGGACAACTGGGAGTGGCTCAGTTTGCCCACACAGTCCTGAGCATTAAACAGGCTCCACCAAGAATGCGCCTCTATTTTCAGTCCTAGAGTGACTCTTCCTCCCTAAGCCCTTTTTGGCGCTCCCAACCTGACAGCCCTTGTGGGTTTGGGGAGGCTTGATCAGTGTTTCCTGAAACTCCTCCCCCAGTTCATAAGCGCTTGGTTTCTAAAAGCACTATGGCGGACCTTTGGTGGCTGCCCCCTTTCAAAAAGCCGGGAGTGTAGCTCAAGGTGTAGCCGTCAAGACATCCCAAACCTGCGCCTGCACTTGGGCCCTCTACCCTCATGCCTAAGAGAGCTTTCTCTGCTAGGAGCCCTTTCTGCCCAGCCTCGTCGCCCCTGTCCTTTTGAGCTTCAGCTCTTATCCTCCAGATCAATGCAGGTAGCCTGGCCATGTATTCGGTAACTGGCTGGGGACAGGACCGTGAGTTCTGGTCCCACCCTGCCCTGACCAGCTTTGTGACAGTTCACCTTCCCAGGTTTGAAAGGTCCATCTCCCTGTTCCTTTGTGCTTATTCCCAGGACCACATAATTAGTGATTTTAGAAATAGATCTGTGCTAGCAGTTGTCTGGTCTAAACCCCTCACTTTACAGGAGCAGTAACCAAGGCTCAGAGGGGCCATGTTTAGGGACTCGCACTTAACCCCACTGGAGAGGGCCTCCCAACCTCCATCCAGGGCCCTTCGACTTCACCCCACACTGCATTATCATGTCTCACTCCAGCACTTACATTATGCAGTACTAACAGTGCTTTTGGAACAGGAAGATAACTTTGCTTCTTCCTGTTCTTCATGCCCTCCCTTCCCAGTTTGTTAATTATTTAAAGAATGAATAGAAGCTACCTGTCCCTTTCTTGTATCCTCTACTGCCCCATAGATCTTGGCAATGACAGAGAGGTCAGGCCTACCCCTTGACATTTTCAGACTTCTTCCCTGGGTGGGGGTTGCACCGTTGCCCTCACTGAGGCTGCTGAGAGGAGCAGCCTCTTAGTCACCTAAGTGGAGCCCTTCTCCCTCCATACAGGAGGATTCCCCAGAAGGCTGGAGCAGGACTGATGGAGGCACAACCGGAAGGCCCCAAGATGGAACCCAGATCTTAGCAGCACCAGGCAGCCAGCTCTCATGCTCCCAGGTCCAGATCCCCTTGACCTCTAGAGGTACAAAATCAAGATACTATGTGGGAACCTTAACAGGCAGTCACAAATGAAGATGTTAAACATATTCCATGTGGCCCTCTCTGGAGCATCAAGAGCTGAAGGAAAAAAATTAAGGGGAAGCAAACTGGAGCTCAGCAGAAAGAGGGAAAGAGATAGTGCTGGGCTGGTCAAGGGTGGGCTCCTGGGTGGGAAAGAGGAGCGGGTCCTGAGCAGCCCTCAGTCTGTGCTCCCACAGCAGCACGCTTTGCCTGGCTCGCAGGAGAGGCTCTGGACACCTTGGAGCTGAAGGACTCAGGGGACTGCCAGGCCAAGGTACCCATCAGCCATGGCATGGAACAGAAGTTCCAGGTACAGTCACCAGCCCTGCCCTGCCAGGACTTCTGCTGCTGGGTAGGAGCCCTGTCTGGACACGCTGGCCTCTCTGGAACAGGTGGCGTCTGTCCTGGGCCCTCCGGGGAGAGGCGCAAGGATTGCTCTCCCTGCTGAGCCTGACCTCGACTTTGACCCCATCACCATACTCCAGACGCAGGATCTCTTGACCCAGGACTATGAGCGCCTGCGAGCCCTGGCAGAGGTAATGCTCCTGTCCAAGAAATGTTCACCAAGCCCCTAGCTGGGGCAAGACCTCAGGCCGCCATCCCAGGGGCAAAGTGCTTTGCCCTCAAGGAGCCCATGTCACGACTGAGTGGGTGTCAAGTCCTTGGATGGATGCGGTGCGAGGGGTGCACAGGAGAGAGAGAGCCCAGGTCTGCTTGGGGGTCAGGGGAGGCACCTTGAGGAAAGGACATTTAAACTGAGACTTGAAGCAGACAGCGGGCAACCCTGGGAAGGCTGGCCAGGACCTGAGCAAAGGCCAGGAGGAGGCCTGATGGAAGGGGCTAAGGCCGGAGTACCCAGAGCACAGAGGCCAGGGAGGCAGCTGCTAGAGAGAGCTGGAGCCGCCCAGGGGAGCGCCAAGCCCCCGGAAAACATGCATTTGACCTAAGAGCAAGGCCCTTACCCTAAGGGCCACTGGTTCCCTCTGCTGGGTACCAAGAGGCCTCTGGTAGGATATGGAGCCCAGCCGCAGGGCAGGAACACCCTCTGGCCCTGGTACCATTAGCAAATGCTAGTGGGCTTGGGCGGGCAAGAGCACCCTGGGCCTGCTCTGCGCACCCTGCAGGGGACATTGACCCTCACGCCAGCCCTGGGCCTGCTTCTCCTCAGGGCCGCAGGGCCAGGTTGGAGGAGGCGGTGGCCCTGTTTGGCTTCTACAGCTCCTGTGGGGAGCTCCAATCCTGGCTGGAGGAGCAGACAGCCCTGTTCCAGTCGCTGCAGCCCCAGTCTGACAACTTGGACATCATGCAGCTCAGATACGAGGTACAGCCCCTGGGAGCCTAAGAGGTCTTGGGGTATCTCCTCCCCGCTTGTTCCAGCCATCCTGTCGTTCACTGCTGGGCCCCAGAGCCAGTATGGTCCTGACAAGGGACCCAGGAGCTGTCCTGACTCTGAGAGTGACAGACAAACTACCCCTCAGAGGCCTGGGTCCTCCTCCTTCCCAGAACTTCCTCGCTGCCTTGGCCATGGGAAAGGACCGCTGGGCTGAGGTCGGTCGCTCTGCTGAGCAACTGAAGCAGAGGCATCCTGGGGACTCCACGAAAATCCAACAGCAGCAGGCAGACCTGAGCTGGAGGTGAGAATCGGGAGCACAGGGCAGTGAGAACAGGAGGGGGCAGAGCCCAGGCCTGGGGCGTCCCTCGATGCCAGGTGGAGAGGCTGTGCAGGGTGAAGGACAGGGAGGAGAGGCATAGCCAGTCTGACAGCTTCTGGCAAGCAAGGCCTCATATGATGGAGACATCCCTGTACCCTCTGCTCAGGTGGGAGCAGCTGGCGGCCCTGAAGAAGGAGAAGGGCCTGCAGCTGGCCTGCAGCATGGAAGTGTGCAGTTTCCTGCAGGAGTGTGGCCCCACACAGACCCAGCTGCAAGAAGTGCTACTCCAGCTGGAGGCCCTGGAGCCAGGGAGCTCCAGGGATGGCCACCACGCCCTGCAGTTGACCCTGCAGAAGGTCCAGATGCTGGAGAGCAGGATCCACCACCTCCAAAGGGTGGCCACAAAGTACGGCCAGGTTCAGCATGGTGACAGTGCCCTGGAAGGCAGTGGAGGCAGAGGGAAGGCCTGAGCGGGGCGATGCCGTGAGGAAGGGGACAGAAATTGGGATGGGGAGAAAGTGGCTAGGATGTGCTGTGAGAGGGGCTCGGGTGGAAGTGGGGACAGTCAGCATCAGAAAGTGCCCTTGTAGAGAGGAGGGGCCACATGTTCATGCTGCCCCTCGGTCATGGTGGGTCACAGTTGTCTTCCCTTGCCTGGGGGACATACACCTGGGCACAGGACCTATGCCTGAGGCACCATGTCCAGGGCAGGCCTGACTATGCAGTGGCTCTGTCTCCCAGGGTGGCAGAGTCAGGCCCCGCAGATGGCCAGCTCCTGCAGGAACAGGTGGAGGTGCTGCAGGGACTTCTGAAGCAAGCACAAGACCGAGGGGCCCAGCAGGCCTGGGGCCAGGCTGAGGCTCAGGCCCAGCGGAGCTTCCTGCAGGAGAGCCAGCGGCTGCTACAGTGGATGGAGGGCGTCCAGGCTCGGCTGCACAGCAAGGAGGAGCTGGTGGACGTGGCTTCAGCCCAGAGGCTGCTGAGGGAGTACAGAGGGCTGCAGGAGGAGGTCCACCTTCAGCAGGAGAGGTCAGGATGGGAGGGCAGGCAGAGCCCAGGAAGGGAAGGCAGGATGTATGGTCACCAGAGGAGTGGCCCAGGTTGGTGTCCAGCATGGCTCCTGAGGCAGGTTTACAGGGGGTCTAAGGCCTGGGTCGGGCAGTCTGCATGCCTCGGGGAAGGTCCCAGGAGGCAGAGCCCACTCGGCAGTTCCATGCGGTCTAGTGCCCCTGACATTCTGGGTGACACAGACCCCACTGGTCCCTGGAGTCGAATGGCTCGGCACTGTCCCACAGGACTCCAGCCTCTCTGCCTGAAGGGATGATGTGACACCCAGCTGGCAGCCAGGGCTACCACATGGCGTCCTTAGGCTGTGCCCTGACACAGGGAGCCTGACAAGTGTCCAGTGGTCCCCAAGAAACATCTGCCCTGCTTGCTGCACTCTGCTTCTGGTCTGGGCTTACAGCAGTGCAGAGGAAGCAGAGGCTTTTTCTACTTCCCACAGCAGTGCTGCCTATCCCCAAACTGTGCGGGCTGCATGAAGCTGAAGGGCACTTTTCCTACCTGTTCAAAGGCTCCTTGTGGGCCGGCCACGGCCCTGTGGGCAGGCGTGCGTGTGATGTGAGTGATCCGAGTCTGTAGAGTTGTGCTGCCCTAGCGTGTCTATTTGCCTGGATATCCGCCACTGGCGGTCCTCATTTACAGGCAGGCAAGTGGGAGTGAGGGTGTGGCACGGCTGGGAGCATGGAGCTGCTGGGTCCCGAGCACTGTGCCTGCTGCATTCACTCTCTCACTCCCATGGGGCAGGGGAGCCATCGGGGTACCCAACTGCAGGCCTCCCTGCCAACTACCCTCACATCTGAGTTCCGCCATGAGAGACAGAGGAGGCCGGGGAGGAGGAGGCTGGGAGAGGAGCCAGATGGAGTGTGACCCTCTCTGCGTGTTGTCCTGGACAGGCTGCAGCAGCTGGAGGCTCAGGGCCAGCCCCTGGCAGCCTCAGATGCCCTTCACTCCCAAGAGGTCGCCAGGGCCCTGAGGCTCCTGGGCCAGCACAGCTGGGAGCTGAAGGCTGCGTGGGAGCGGAGACAGCAGTGGCTGCATGAGGGGCTGCAGCTGCATAGGTTTGGCCAAGAAGTTAATGGCTTCACTGCTGCCTGTGCTGACCACGAGGCTGTGCTACGCCTGGACAGCCTGGGGGTACGGTGCCAGGGATGTGAAACTAGGGTGCAGCTCTCCCATGCCCTCGAGGAAGCATCTGTCCATGGGTCTAGAAGACAGGCTGGGCAGGACCCTATCGTCCCAGGCATAACCTCAGGTCCCTACACCCCAGGAGGATGTGAGGGAGGCCCAGAGCCTGCTACAGCAGCACCAGAGCTTGGAGTGGCTCCTGGGCAGCCTAAGCCTTCGTGCGAAGGCTCTGCAAGCACGTGGCAAGAAGCTGGTCCAGAGCCACCACCCTGCTGCGCACAGGTGAGCCTAGCCAGGGGCCTTTGCTTCCTTGCCTGCAGTGACTGCTCCCTCAGGCTGGGGAGTGGGAGGGCAAGGGGTGGGCGGGCCTCAGGTCAGAGAAGAGCTCTTCCCACCCCTGCCCTCCAGGCTCGGAGAACAGCTGCAGAGCATCCAGGTGCAGTGGACCAGGGTCCAGGAGAGGAGTGAGCAGAGGCGGCGGCAGCTGCAGGCTTCTCTCCAGCTCCAGGTGAGGAGCTTTCGTGGGAGAGAGGGCCGCCAGGAGCAGTGCCTGAGAGCCCACCCTTTGCGTTGTCCCTCACATCCTGCTGCCACCCCCAGCACCTCCTGGAGGCAGGCGTCGTGGCTCATGTGTTTCTAGACGAGGAGCACGAGCTGTGGCCTCGGGCTCTCAGAGGCTGCCCGGGCCTAATGGGTGTTCAGCCCCAGGGCGGCACCAGCCAGGCCAGCCCGCTCCACGGCCCTCCCAGACCTTCTGCCGATTCGGAGCACGATGGTGGTGCATGAGCTGATGTAACCGAAAGAGTGCCGACCTGACCTCCTTCTCTCTGGGCGCAGTGTCCCTGTTCCCTGTCCCCGTTTGGAAAGTAGTAACCACAGGCCCCTCCTTTCTTGCACCCCAAAATCGGCTCTGGGTCCTGCTTTTCCCCAAAGGGTCCCTCAAACCCTTCTCCCTAGAGATAGGTCGACTGCCAGCCCTTGTGCCTGGGCTGGGAGACCCGCTCTCTCCCTGTCCTCGGGCAGGAGTGGAAGCAGGATGTGGCGGAGCTCATGCTGTGGATGGAGGAGAAGTGGGCAGCGGCGGCAGACGAGCCCTCCCGGGCACCTGGCAATGTTCTGCGGAGACTCCGGTGGCACCGAGTGGCTGAGAGCGAGCTGCTGGCCACCCGTGGGCATGTGGAAGCCCTGCAGCAGGTGGGACGCCGGGCGGGGGGTGCGAAGCTGCCCCTCTCAGCTCCCAGCACACACAGCCCATTGTTCGTGGAGCACAGTGACTGAAGAGGACTCAGCCTGGCGCAAGGGTCCCCACCGCCTCCCTCCCTCTGCTGGGTGTCCCCTTGCCCTGGCACCCAAACCAGCACAGAAGGCTGCTGCCATCCTGCCGCTCCACTGTCCAGGGCGAGCCCCAGAGCCCGCCCCCGCCAGAGCAAGGCCCCCAGCTGCTTCCACCTAATGCCTGCTCCCTCTGCTCTACTTCTGTCTTGCCTCAACCACAGCTGGGGACCCCTGAACTGCTGGACCCCAGGCGGCCCATGGACAGAAGCTGTGGCCCCTCTCCTGCCCCTCCCCTCCCACGCCCAGTCTACTGTGGTTGCCGGTGGTTCCAGCCACTCAGAAACAAAATGCCTTGGGCCTTGTCTTCATGTCAGGCTGGGAGAGAGCTGCTGTGCAGCAGGCCACAAGCCCGGGAGGACGTCCAGACCAGCCTGCGGGGCCTGAGTCGCAAGTGGGAAGAGTTGACACACAAGATGGCAGAGCGCAGGGCTGAGCTTGAGCAGGCTGGACAGCAAGAGCAGTTCCTGGGGCTGCTGCAGGTTCACTGGAAAGGCGCCGAAGGCAGGGTGGGAGCGGGCAGGAAGGAAAGAGCCTGCGTTGTAATCCCAGCATTCTGGGAGGCTGAGGCAGGAGAACTGCAAGTTCAATCCCACCCTGGGCAATTTAGCAACTTAGTGAGACTCTGTCTCAAAGTTAAAAATAAACTGGCTGGCTTCAGCTCTGTGCAAAGGCTGTGAATTCAATCCCCAGTACAAGAATAAACAGTCTGGATGTCCTGCTGCCTCTGGGGTGGCCCCATCTGTCCTGCAGCCTGTGGAGGCCTCTGGCCCACAGCGACTGGGGCGTGGCTTTACCTATCAGTAGGCTGGTATTTGTGTGCCCAGTGTGTGGTGGGCACTTAATCCTCTAGGGAGGAAGAAGCATGAGGGGAGAGGGCCAGTTTGGGCACTGCTAACGCAGCCCCTGTGGCCACCCCAGGATGCCAAGGAGAAGATGGAGCAGCTAGAGGCTGCCCTACAGTCCACAGAAGTGGGGCAGGACCTGCGCTCAAGCCAGGCACTGCAGAAACAGCACCAGCAGCTAGAGGGCAAGAGCCAGGTGCTGGCCAGCGAGGTGACTGCCCTCATCTCCCGGGCCCAACATGCAGCCGCTTCCCAGGCTGTCCTGGAGGAGGCCCAGCAGTGCCAACAGAGGTGGGTCCCTGCCCACCCCAACCCCTCCATTCTATCTTCATCCTACTGTCACACCCCACCCAGAGTGGCACCTACAGGAGGTGAGAGGTCCAAATCTCCTTCGCTTATAGATAGGCTCATTCTAGGATGGGAGGGCCAGAAACCTTGGCAGTCATCCCAACAGCCTGAAGTCAGGGGGTCCTCTTGGTGGCGAGCTGGGACCCTGTGCCTCCACCTGTCTCCCCTCAGAGGAGGTGTCCCATATTCCCTGGCCCAGTCACAAGAGGGACCTTCTCACTGTTCTTATCCTCTTGACTCCCTCTTCTCCCTCCGCTCAGGCTCAAGTCCCTGCAGGGCCGCTTGGCTGCCAGGCGCCTGCAGCTGCAGGCCTCAGTTGAGCTGAACCAGTTCAACTACCTGAGAAGCTTGGAGCTCACCTGGGTGGCTGAGCACATGCCCAGTGCCCGCACCACCAGTGGTGCCCAGTGCCAGGCCAGTGCCCGTAGCCTTCAGTATAAACACAAGGTAGTGGCTCTTTTTTTACCCCAGGACCCTGCATGTCCCATCCCCAGACTTGCAAAGCCCTCTGTTACTGCTCAGGGTCACCTGGCCTCTAAGTCCCTCTCCCTGGGGGTGCTGATTTCCAAATCTCTGCCCCCCTCTGCCCCCCTCTGCCCACCTCTGCATGGGGCTTTTGCTGTAATTCAGGCGTGTGGTTAAGGAAATCCCATGCAGCTCCTTCCTGTCTGTGGCAGGAGCTGCAGGCTGAGGTGAGAGCACACGGTGGGCAGGTGCAGCAGGTGTTGGGTTCCGGCCAGAGCCTAGTGGCCTCTGGCCACCCCCAAGCGCAGCATATCATGGAGCAGTGCCGGGAGTTGGAAGGCCACTGGGCGGAGCTGGAGCACGCGTGTGAGGCACATATCCACAGCCTGCAGCGGGTGGCTGCTTCCCAGCAGGTAGGCTGCAGAAAGGGAAGGGGCAAGGAGGGTTGTGATCCCTGCAGAAGGTAGCTCAGTGGTGAGGGCCCTGTGCCAGGAGCTGGCTCGTCCCCACATGGCCCCAGGCCCTCGGTGCTGGCTGCAGTGAGCAAGATCTCCTTGCAGGGTGGGGGAGGGCTCTATCTGAGATGGCCAAGGTGAATCAGCCCCATTCTTGGCAGTATTTTCTGCACGTGTCAGAGCTGGAGGGCTGGGTGGAAGAGAAGCTGCTGCTGGTGAGAAGTCAGGACTTCGGCAGAGACGAGGCAGCTACCTTCAGGCTCATTAGGAAGCACCAGGTGCCACGTCCCAGCTTCCCACACAGTGCGGTAACACGGTGGGTGGTGGTGGGCCAAGGAGAGGAGGTGGCTCGTCACATCCGTGAGGGGCATATCCCACATCTTGCTGCACCCCGGCTCTGGTGTCTTTATCCTCTCAGTCCCTCTCTTCCCTAGCTGCTCCAGCCAGCCCCATGCCTTTCATATGTCCTCCTCCCAGGCTTTGAATGGTGCCCTTTGAGTTAACCCAATGTTCTTCACCAAATGCTGGGGTCCAGTATAATGCCCCCTGCCCGCTTCCTTCCTTGGCCCACACTGCACAGCGGTCATCCTTCCCTGCTACGTAATGGGCTCCCTGAGGGCACAAGCATGTCTTCATGTTATGGAACACAAGTATCCCATCAGTGCTGAGCCAGTGGGTGACGGGTGGGTGGAGGGGTGGATGGGTGAGTGGAGGGGTGTGAGAATGAGCTGAAGGTTAGGTGAGTGGGTAAGAGCTGATGAGCAAATTGATGGGACATGGACAGGTAAGGGGTGGATGGACAGGCAGGGATGCAGGTGGGTAGATGGATAAGTCACCCATTCTGAGCCTGACAGGGCCTCTTACGTTGGCAGGTGCTGGAGCAAGAACTAGCTCTTTATTTGAGCTCCATGGAGGCGCTGGACCAGAGCGCCCAAGACCTTGCTGGCCCTGAGGGCCCTATGGTGCAGAAGAGGCTCCAGGGGCAGCTGCAGGCACTACAGGAGCTGGCAGCCACACGGTGAGGGGCATTACAACCCCTCAAAGGCTACAGGCAGCCTTACCACAGTTGACCATGCCCATACCATGGCCCCAAGCCCATACAGCTCTGTCAAGAGAAAGATGAGGGCAGGTGTGTAATCCTAGCACTTGGGAGGCTGAGGCAGGAGGATTGCTGTGAGTTTGAGGCCAGCCTGGGCTACATAGTGAGTTCAAGGCCACCATGAACCACACAGTGAGACCCTGTCTCAAAAAAAAAAAAAAAAAAAAGAGAGAAGGATGAGACCTTGCTGGGTGTGGCCTACCTCTTTACCTCTTTCCTTTCCAAATCTTCGATGAGGGCCTGGCTCCCAGCTATCCACCTCTTCTCCAGGTCCACAGCCTCTCCTGTGGCTTCCCGTGGTCTTCCTCTGTCTCCTGTCCCAAAGTTGCATGCTTGGGCAAAGACCATGAATGACCCCATCCCTCAGGTCAGCCCTTCAGTTGGCCCTGTCCCCAGGGGGTGACAACTAATTTCTGGGGAACAATGGGCTGTCACCACAGGGGCCGGCAGCTGGAGGGGACGCTGAGGCTGCATGAGTTCATGAGGGAGGCTGAAGACCTGCAGAGCTGGCTCACCAGCCAGAAGTGGGCGGCCACGAGAGGGGACTGCCTGGGAGAGGACTATGAGCACGTGCTGGTGAGGGGCTGGGGGCAGGGTGGACGCGGAGCAGGTGCTGGGTGGCGGGCAGCTGGGCCTGCTGCGGTGATGGAGTCATAAGCCCTCAGGCCAGAGTGGGCAGGCTATAGCCATCCAGCCCCTCTTTGTCCAGTGGGTCCCTGAGACCCCTTGCTCCCCAGGCTGCTTGCTGCTTGGCCCACCCTGTCACCCACTCCCCTCTCTTCTCAGGACCTCTGCACCAAGTTTGCAAAATTTCAGCGCCAGGTGGAGACGGGCAGCCAGCGGGTAGCCACCTGCCAGCAGCTGGCGGAAAGCCTGCAGGAGTGTGGGCACACTGCCGCCCCCAGGGCCCGCCAGAGGCAGCAGGACTTGCAGTGAGTGCCAGGGACCGAGTCTGGGGGACACTGCATGGCCCGGGAGGGGCCTTCCCATGACAGTCGCCCTCAGCAACTATGTCCCCCTCTCCCCCTGTCGTCCAGCCCTTCCACACCTCATTTCTATAACCGCCACCAGGCTAACGGGGTCTGCCCCCAGCCTATCACCTTGAGGCAGGCTCATGACTGGTCCTGACCCTCAGCCAATTTGCGAAGTAAATGAGGAGTGGAGAGATGTGGCCTCTGCCCTGAAGGCCTTTGTAATCTGATCAAAATACCAAGAATCACACAAGATGCAAGAGCATCACAAAGCAGAGGTTAATGAAGTCTGAGCACTGCTAAGGCAAAGGTCGTCCACAGAGACCCTAGAGAGACAGGAAGGTTTGCAGGCAAGGCCAGGGGCCGGAGAAGGCCTTGAGAGGGCCAAGAACCATTCAGGAGTCTCAGGCACGGTGAGCCCCAGGTATAAGCCAGAGAGGAGGCAGGTTGGCCAGGCTGGCAAGGAAAGGGCATTCAAGCTGACCGCAGCTGAGCCCTCCCCGCTGCTCTCCCGTGCTGGGCAGGGCTGGCTGGTTGGAGCTGTGGGAGCTGACCCAGGCCAGAGGCCACCTGCTCCGAGATGCTGAGACCACCCTCAGAGTTCACAGAGACCTGCTGGGGGCCCTCACCCATGTCCAGGTATGAGCCCGGAGTGTGGAAGGGGAGTCTTTCTAGGAGTGGATCCTTCCCAGACTCAGTGCCCGTTCCCCATCCCTCATCCCCATGGCCCTCTCCTCAGGAGAAAGCCTCAAGCCTTCCCAGTGAGGTGGCCCAGGACCTGCATGCGGCGGAGGCCCAGCTGAGATGTCACGAGGCACTGGAGAGTGAACTTCGAGGCACTGAGCACCAGGTGAGGGGCTGACTGCCCCCCAGCCAGGCCCCTGCAGGTGCCCTTCAGCTGGCACCTGGCCCTCCAGATCTCCCCCTCTCCCTTGGCCTCCAGGCAGGCCTGTTGGGCACAGCAGGGTGTGGCCCAGGGAGGCCCTGCATTCCCACATGAGGCATACATCTCGGGTGGTCAGCCCTTCAGCCTCTGTAAGGACATTACCTTCTTCCCTGTCTCCTCTGATGCCAGCTGCAGGAACTGCTGGAGGCCGGAGACAGGGTGCAAAAGCTGTGTCCAGGGCCTCTGGCCCATGCAGTGTGGCAGAGACAGCAAGCTGTGACGCAGGCCTGGGAGGCCCTGCGACTGCGCATGGATGGGCGCAGGGCCCAGCTGGAGCGGGCATGCCTCATTGCTCGCTTCCATGCCACGGTGAGGACACCTTCCTCTTTGAAGAGGGAAGATGTGCATGTGTGTGTGAGGCCCCCCATTCTGGAGGGAAAACCAGTGTGAACAGGAGGGCCAGAACACGAGCCCATCTAGACATTAGTCTGCCTGCCCAGAGGTGGAGCAGAGCAGGTTTGGCTGGACTTCTCGGGTTTGGGTCAACACCAGCGCAGGTGAGTGACAGGCTCTCATGCCGTGCCCGGGCAGTGACAACAGCGTAGTCCATAACGAGACTAGATGATCCAATAGCCTGTGGATCAGCCAGTGTCTGTTCAGCATCTGTGTTCAGCCCCCTGCTAGAGCTGAGGGTGTAGAGGGGAGGGAAGCTCTGGAATATGGAATTGCTCCCCTCATGGAGCCCACCACCTGGGGATATGGGGCTAAGGTCCCAAAGGTAAGACTGGGACAGTGAGCCTTGCTGTGGGGTGGAGGAGTCCCCATGTCGAAATGCTGGGTGGACCAGGAGGCTCAAACTGCAACACTATGAACAGACAATAGTTTAGGAACCTTCCTCTGCCACTTCGTCACGGTGTGAGCAGGGCCACTTCGCCCTGGTTGTCACCTTTGCTCAAGTACCTGTAGTTTGCAAGACACGGTCATGTGCTTGGTGCAGTGCTTGGGCAAGGGCCGGGTCCCTCCAGCTGCAGCGCTGCGTAGTCATCCGCACACCGACAGGAGACAGGTGTAGGGTTAGATTGGCGGCTCAGAGGCTGGTAAGCAGGGAGATGCCGGGTACAGCAAAGGCTGCAGAGGCAAAGGTAGACCCAAAGAGTTGGGATTCTTTCTCCCCATTAACCAGCTGTTGGTCTGGCTGCCTTCCCCTCAGACACTGCAGAGAGGGGACACAGGAAGGCCTGCTTCCTGGAAGGCAATGAGCAGCACGGTACAGGCACTCAGTGAGGGTCTGGCCTCCATGGGAGGTTCATGGACCCAAGAGATGTGGGTTGGATGGAAACAGAGAAACCAGGCCGTGAGGCCCCATGGCCTGTCCAGAAGCCCTCACCTGCTGAGCGGGTGGGGTGAAGTTGTACCTGTGCACCTGGTTCCTGCTACCCGCACTCCTCACCCTGCTCTCCCGGTGTCTGGGACCAGGTGTGGGACTACACTTCCTGGGCAGCCGGCATTCATCGGGGACTACAGGCAGAGGAAAGCCCCTGGGAGCCCAGCAGCGGCCCGTTCATGCTCATCGTCCACCAACAGCTTAGGGCAGAGCTGGAGGCCCGGGAGGAGCTACAGCAGCAGGCCACCCAGCTGGGCCAGCAGGCACTTCTGACTGCAGGGACACCCATCAAGGAGGTGGCCCCTTTCCCGGTGCCCCTAGCCTACTCTGGCCTGACCCAGCCTGCCCTGCCCCTGGTTCCTGCGCAATGCTAGCTTCTCCTCATAGGCTTCTCCTGGGTCCACGTCCAACTTACTTGTGCCTGCCCCCTGTCCCTGGCCCTGCCCCCATTCCCACCTCTATGCACCTGGCTCTAGCCCTGCCCCACACATGCCTATCCCAGATCCAGGATGGGCTCCAAGCCCTACAGGAGGAGCGTGACCGGGTATTTCAGGCCTGGGCCCAGAAGCAAGAGAGGCTACAGGCTGCACAGGAGGAACAGCGCCTCCTCAGACAGTGCGGCCACCTGGAGGAGATCCTCTTCGCCCAGGAGGCAGGTCTCCCCAGGCTCCTCTCTCCAGTCCCCCTTTCTTCCCGGATTTCTGGTGTTTCCTCTGACCCAGGGCACAGCAGCTTTGGTGGCCTAGGACACAGAGGGTGGTGTTAGGGTATCTGGGTCTCCACCAGTCTGCAGACAGAGCCCTGAGGGTATTGGCTGGAAGCTGGTCACATAGCTCCCTTTGTGCAGAGGTTGAGTTGCCACTGACCCCCACCTGGGCCCCTCTGTCCACACTCAGTGCTTGGATCAGCCCCACCCCGGGTCTCCTGTTCCTCTCCGATGCCCAGAGGTGACACCTCAGCACAGACATGTGCAGAAAGGGGCTCTGACCTTTTCCAGGTGTCCCTGGAAACCAGCACCCTGGGAAGCTCAGTAGAAGAGGTGGAACGCTTGATCCACAAGCATGTGGTCTTCCAGAAGGTGCTGACTGCCCAGGACAAGAAGGTGACAGGCTTGGGGCACCATGGGCATGGTCAGGTGTCAGAGCGTCAGGGGTGGGGAGAGTCCTGCACGGGTGTGTGGTGCTATGTGCATCCCCAGAGGCAGCACTCATGTGCCTGTGGAGCTTATGTATTTGGCTGTCCATGTGGCTCGAGAAGACCCAGGGTGGGGTGGGCCACACTGAGGGACCACCAAGGACATAGAGATCAATCCACACCACAGGGTCACCAGGGAGCAGTTCAGGTGCTGAGAAAGCTGGTGGGCTGGGACCATGCAGGGCTGGAGTTTCCTTGAAGAAAGGGCATTGAGGCCTGGGTGCTGGCCTTGCCCCTGCCCCATAGGTGGCCACTCTGTGTGAGCAGTTGAAGGCGCTCCCAGGCCCCAGGGGACAGGACTTGCTTCATGGTGTGCTGGAGCAGCAGGCCCGGGTGAAGGAGCTGGCAGAAAGCCGGGAATGTGCCCTGCACACCTCTCTGCTGATCGCCGGCTTTGCCAGGGCTGCCACCCAGGTCAGAAGGCTGTCCCCTGCCCGGTGCTTTCCCTTTAAACTATATTCTTCAGTCTGAGCTGGCTTTCATACCTGTGAATGAGGAAACCGTGGTCTGGGGGGACCTGTGGGTGGAACAACATAGACTCTCGTTCCCACCCCTGTTAGGCTGAGGACTGGGTCGAGGAGCGGGTCCAGCAGCTGAGACAGCCGATCCCTCCTGGAGACCTGAAAGACAACTGGAAGTGCCTGCAGAAACACCAGGCCTTTAAGGCTGAGGTCCAGGCCCTTGAGCAGGCCCTAATCCCTGTTGCCAAGGTAATGCCAGGCCTCGGCCTTAGCCTGCCCCCGAGTGCAGACTCCAGGATGGGCAAGGGGAAGGTCTCAGGCAGGGAGACGGTGCAGTCAAGCTTCCTGTGTCTCTGCTCTCCCCAGCAAGGTGAGGCACTCTTGGCTCAGAGCCACCCTCGCACAGGAGAGGTCCCCCAGAGGCTGCAGGCACTGCAGGAGAGTGGGGAGAAGCTGAGGAAGGCAGTGGCCCTCCGGGGCCAGGAGCTGGAGGACCAGCGCAACTTCCTGGAGTTCCTGCAGAAAGCAGACCTTGCAGAAGCCTGGATCCAGGAGAAGGTGGGGCCCAGCTGGGGACTGAGGCGGGGCGGGGAGGAGCTCAGGCCTGCGTTCTCTAGCTCCCTGGCAGGAGGGTATCCTGGCAAGAAGTCCCAAAGCCTCCACCTGCCGCAGCACTGCCGCAGGGGTTGGGTGCCTGGGGCCAGCGCTCAGAGTACTGTCCTCCCCTCCCCTCCCTCGGCCTCTGCAGGAGGTGATGGTGAACGTTGGCGACCTAGGCCAGGACCTCAAGCACTGCCTGCAGCTCTGCAGGTGGCTCCACAAGTTCCGAGGCACCACGGTGGGTGCAGCACCTCCACTGGGAAGCGTGGCTCAGAGTCACGGACGCGTGGGCTCTGGGGCCAAGGGTGGGCTCAGGGTCAGCGCTGCGCTTCCTGCTTAAGCGGGCTCCCTCTGCTGTGTAAGATGTTGATGTTATGTGAGAAGCCAGGGGAAGAGCACAAGGACCCTGTCTGTACTACTACTATGCATCTATAATTATCTCCAAAAAATGTTAAAGATGGTATGTGTGCCTCAATGTAGTAATCAGGATGTTCCTTCAGCGTGACGGTTCCAGCGTCTTGGCGGCTCCTTCTTACACGTTCTCCCCAAAATATACCAGAAACCTGCTTCTCTCTTGTAGTGTAAAGGAAAGAAATTTGGAAAATGTATTAACAGCAGGTGTTAGGGGCCATGTGCCAACCCTGTCCCCTTGACATAGTATGCATGGGTTTTAAAGGCTGAAGTGGTAGTGGTGGGACTGCGTAGATCCTGTACCAGGCAATCCCCACCCCTTGTCTTGCTGGGGCTGCCCTCCCGATGCACCCCTAAGCCCACCCAGTGGTAGCCTCAGCCCACGCCTGAGGCTGAGATACCCAAACCCCAGGAGGCTGGAGCTCATGTCATGCCCTCTCCCTTCACCTCTTTTATCCCAGTAAGCTGCATCTGAGTTTTAAGTGTCTGTTAGCTAAGCATGGTGCCGCGTGCCTGTAATCCCAGTGCTCTGGGAGGCTGAAGCAAGATCATAAATTCAAACTTAGCATGGGCAACTTAGTAACTTAATGAGACCCTGTCTCAAAGAAATTAGAGGGGGGTGTGATATAGCTCAATGAGAAGGTCCTGGATTCAATTCCAGTCCCAGCCGCGCTCAAGCCTGACAGTGGGCGTGTGCCACCTTGTCCTTGAGGAGCACATTCCCCGGCCTGAGAGACTCAGGCTGCGGGCGTCAAGCTGAACTTGCTCACTGTGCCTGGGAGGGCAGCCTCCGCACCTCCCACAGGAAGGAAAGTCACCCCCCTCGTATCCTCACATGCTGTTCCTACCCCCAAGTGCCAGCCGCAGTGCCAAGAAGGGACTCTGAGCAGGTGACCCCAGCGCCCTCACCTGCACTTCCCCCGTAGGACGCCGTGGGTGACACCTACATCAGGAACATCAGTGCCCTGTCGCTGCAGCTCAAGAACCAGGACCCTGAGGAAGCCAAGATCATTTTCCAGCGGCGAAGCCAGCTCAACCACAGGCCAGTCCCAGACTGGGGAGGCAGAGGGGCTGGGAGACAGGCCATGGGCCACCTCAGGCGCCACATGTCACCACCACCCCTTGGCCAGGTGGGGGACTTTCCAAGGCAACCTGCTGCAGTACCAGCGGCAGCTTGAGGGGGCCCTGGAGATCCACACATTGTCCAGCGAGCTGGATGACATCACCAGGCAGATTGGGGAGAAGGTAAGCGGTGGGGTCCCCTTGTGCGCCGTGAGACACCACCCTTCATGTGCCTCTTCTCAGCAAGTGCGTGGACACCAGTCCTGTCTGGGATCACCTCTAGTGAGGGCTCTATGGCACACTGTGGAATCCTCCCTTTTGGGTTGGGAAGCCTCCCACCTCTTCCTTGCTCCCTGGGATTGCTGTGGGTCCAGCGGCGAGAGCTCACCCTCTCTTTTCTCCGGGCCCCAAGCAGGACCAAATCCCATGGAAAGCTTGCCCCAGGTTGGTGTCCGCCACCACAGAGGAAAACGTGGACTGAATCTGGCTGAGGCAGAAGCAAAGTCATGCACAGCCAGAGAAACCTCATGTGAAGCAGAGGGAGCCCTGTTCTGGGCCTGCCCGGCTTCTTCCACTCCGGTTTCTGCCCTTTCCCAGCCAGGCCCAGGCCTCTAAGTATGCCTGCTCTGGATCTGAGTCTCCACAAAGGGATGGGAGTGAAAAGAGAAAAACGCTAGGAAGCACTACACATATAAGATTCTTACCTGAGAGGAAACCCAGCCCAAAGTCCCTCCTCAGATTCTTCTACTTCCACAGAGGAAGGTGCTGTGTCAACTACCTGGCCCTGCCGGGCCCTGCCGAGGGCAGTGGGCAAGGACTCACACTGGATGCTCGCTTTCCGCATTGCCACCCTGGGGCTGGTGAGGGAGCAGCTAAAGCAAAGGCCACACTGTAACGGCCCATTCCCACTCCTCAGGGTGCCGTGGTCCAGACCTTGGAGGGCACGGAAGAGCTGGAGAGTATACAGAGGCTGCTGTGGAAACAGGTGGTGCTGGAGCAGGAAGTGGGCCTCATCCAGGCGCAGGTGGAGGTGTGGAGCTGGGGGGAGTTGGGCCCGGCCCTGGGTGCTTCCTGTAGGACAGTAATAGTGAGCCTCTTAGAGCTTTCAATGACATAAACAGCCTGCAGTGGCACACATACCATATGTTCGCCACCAAGACTCTAAGGGATCATGGCAGACACAGGCCAAGGGGGCTTCAGGATCCTGAGAGCCACAGGCCAGGGGCCTTCCCAGCCAGAGCCCTCCCGCTAGCCTCTGATCCTAGCTTCTCCCATAGTGCCTCCAGCACAAGGTGGGCTGTCTCTGCCAGACACACCCTGGGGCAGTCCATGGCCTCAGTCACAAGCAGCGAGAGATGATGGACAGCTGGTGGCAGCTCCAGAGCAGGGTGCAGAAGTGGTATGAGCCCCTTGGGCCTTCCTCCCTCTCTGGCCCATCCTCTGCAGTGTTTCAGTCCTCATTCTTCCCCCAGGCCCATTTCTCTGAGATTCTGGCCTGTCCCATCAGGTTCACCAGGGGCATCCCATTGTCATACCATTCATTCTCAGACCAATAATCTCAGCCCTCGAGCCCTTTTTTGCTGTGGGGATTAAGAGACAGGAGATGACACAGGTGGGCATGGGGAAAGAGGGCTCAGTGGCCCTGGGACTAGCTGATGAACTCTATGGGCAGGAGGGAGTCACTGGAAGCTGAGCACCAAGTGCAGAAGCTCCGGGTCCTGATGGAGGAACTGCTGCTCTGGGCCCAGAGGCTGCGGGCTGAGGTGAACAATCGAGGTACACCCTGTAGTCTGGCAGTATCCTGGCAAATGCTGGAGGAGCACCAGGCATGCAAGGTGAGCTGCAGGGACCCTGGGCCTTTGGGGACCTCACCTTCTTACTGCCCTCTGTCCTCTTCTATCCCACACAAGGCCCTTCCCCACCTCTCCCCACCTTTCCTGTAGCCCTGGAAGGCGTTAATGCCTCTAGGAAGCTGAGCCCAGCTCTGTTCCAGGACGAGCTGGATGGCCGGAGAGACAGCATTAACCTGGCCCGAAGCACCGGGAAACAGCTGCTCGCAGCTGGGTCCCCATTGGCCCCTACTATTCACCAGACCCTGGCTGCCCTAGACCAGGAACTGAGCAGCCTGCAAGGGGCCTGGCAGGAGCACCAGGTGCAGCTGCAGCAGGCGATGGAGCTGCAGGTCAGTCCCCAGCCTGCCCCACCTCTCGGGCCTGTGCAACCTGAACAGTGAGGCCAAGCCAACACCAGAGGCTGCTGTGCCAGGGGCTTCCCCACCACACGCCTGGTCTGCTGTAGACTTGTTCATGGAGCCAGGCCCCTGGGTTTTCTGGGTCCTCTACCGACTTTCCTCTCCCCTTTCCTTTTCTCACCAGCTATTCCTGAGCTCTGTGGAGAAGGCAGAACGTGAGCTCTGCAATGAGGAAGCCTCTCTGGCCAGTGAGGGGCTGGGGGTAAGTGTCCATCAGAAGCAGGGGGTGCACAAGGCAGCCTGAGGGGCAACACTGAGACTGTCAGGGCTGCCTGAGCCTGGCAGGCCAGGATCACCCGCTACCCCAGCATAGCTCTCACCAAGCAGTTACTTCCTTATTGGTCCCAAGTGCCTCCCCTGGGCCTGGGGTAGGTTCTCTTTTTTCTCACCACCATACCAAGCCCATGACAGATGAGTGTGTCTCTCAGACAACTCAGCAAATCCTTAGGGGTCCATGTTATTCTGCTGGCTGCAGAGAAGAAGGTAGAAAATCTCTGTCTTCCCTGGACCTGGCCCAACCCTTACCCAGCACCACCCCAAGCCAGGAGTCACTGTCTTAAAGCCAGAAGCAGCCTTGAGGGGCTTGAGGGTGACTTTGAGCAGGACAGTGGCTCTGTGGGGGAGGGGTGAGCAGGATGGCCGGACACTCTCAGACTCCTGCTCCTGCCAGGACCCCTCCGCTAAGGTGGAGGTGCTCCTGCGAAAGCACAAGAGGCTTGAGCAGCGCCTGGAGGCGCAGGTGGAAAAGCTCCGCACACTGGAGGCCAGAGCCCGAAGCCTGCACCAGGGCAGACCTGCTGAGGCCCAGAGTGCCCTGGCCAGGTGCCAGGCCATACTTCTGAGGTACTTGTGGCTCTAGGGCGGTGGGAAAATGTGGGTGGACTGGTGTGGACCTCAGAGCTTTCCCTTCCTGCCCAGGCTCTCTAGCTTTTCTCAAGGGCTGAGGTTAGATACCAGGGTCCCCCCTACAACACACAGAAACTCCCCACTTCCTCCTTCATTCAGTGAGATACAGGAGAGTTTGATTAAGAATTGTACAGCAAGGATGTAAGTGGAAAACCGAGCTGATGGAACAGGAAGCAGGAGATCACAGTGGTTAGTGTCAGGGGTCAGAACATCCTGCATTCTCCACTGCCCGCTAATGGCAGAACCTGAAACAGCCTCCTCTCTGGCTTAGCTAAAACTCTAAGCTACAAAGAGGGACTAACAATAGTATCTGAGTCCTCTGGGATCTCAGCCAGTGTCTGGCCACAGGGCAGGGATCTCTGCTGCTCATTTAACTGAGGCTGGCCACAGACACTCAGGGCCTGCCCAGCTTATGATACCAGGTTCCACCTTTTCCCTCTTAAAGCTCACCTGCCTCCACCGCTTTTCCAGCTCCTCAGGCTTTTAGATCCAGGCAGATAGAGGCAGAAGCCAGACCCCAGACTGGAAGGGTCCAGAGAGCCCACCAGCACTCACAAATGTGGCAAAAGATGATATTTTGACATGCTAAGTGCATGGACAGCAATTGTGTGTGTGAAGGCTTCAAAACATAACATCTTTTTTCCACTTAATCTTAGCCAAAAGGCCGAGAGGCAATGACATCTTCTTTTCACATTGCCTTTCTACCTACCTTACCCCAAGCAGAATCCCTCTGATGTAAGGATGGCAGGGGCTGGGCCATCCCTCTCCATCCCTGCAGGGGGTCCTCACTTGAGTACCCATAGAGGTCTCTTTTTTTTGTCTTTTTGAGACAGGGTCTCACTATGCAGTTCAGGCTGGCCCTGAGCTCACTTTGTAGCCCAGGCTGGTCTCGAACTTACAACAATCCTCCTGCCTCAGCCTCCCAAGTGCTAGGATTACAGGCATGTGCCATCACACCCGGCGATGGAGGTATTTGAGTTGACAAATGGCAAAAAGGGTTCCTGGCAGACCCAGGTGCCTCTCAGCACAGTGCCACTGTGACCCCTACCCGTCCCGCCATCTTCAGGAGGGCATCTCTCTTCCTGCAAGCCCCTCTGCACACCAGCCAACCCCAACACCTGTCACACCTTCGTGGAATACACTGACAGGAAGTGGGGGGTGCAGGAGGCGGGGTGTCAGACTTCTTTTTCTATTTCTCGTAAATCAGGAGCTGGGGATTTAGCTCAGCGGCACAGCGCCTGCCTGGCAAGCGCAACATCATGAGTTTGATTCCCGGTACCAGAAAAAAACAAAACAAAACAAAAAAAAACCTATTTCTCATAAATCATTTATGATCTGTATTTTTGCACGTGGCAATGTACTTAAGGTACTGGTATGAAAGTACA